CAATTGGATGCCGGTTCAGTGGTTTAGAAGTTAAGTGTTCAGATGCTAGATCCAAGAATCTTAATTCGACTTATTGTGGTCAAATCATGGATACACAATTTTGAGGAGTTTGATACTAGAACGCATTTTATCCTATTTAAAACTTGTCAGATGAATGAACTTACTTCGTAATGGTAATACTCATAGCAAAAATTAAACGTAGTAGTTTATTGCTTCAAAAACATTAACTCATTTTACCCTACGTTGCTTGTTTCATGTAACTACCAAATCATGCAACCATTGTTTGTTTAATCTGGAATTTTATCTCTAGAACATTATTGACAAAATGTATCAATTAACTACAAAAAAGAGTAAATATTGTAACTCTAAAAAAACAGTTTGTTCTCTCCCGATGTAAAAATATATGCGAATGTATAGTAGGTTCATATTATATATATACTTATCCGATTATTATTACATCTATACAATACGTCAACTTAAATAAATAAACTATTCAACTCAATTCAGAAACGTTACTATGCTAAATAGGTATTCAATTGGTATAGTTATAACTATTTGACGTTTATCCACATTCATTATTATGAATCACATTGATTATTTAATATCAATAAAATAAATGTAAAACTGGAAGAGTGAATCAATTACTTTTTTCATTTGATATATTATTATTACTATTAATGGCTTTATTCAGTATTATATATTTGGTACAATATAGAATACTCAGTACAAAGTATTTCAGCGATTTTTTTGTTTCTTACTTCTTAGTCGATCTTGATAAAACCAACTATTCAGGTTGTGGTATATGCTACTTATGTTGACAGATAAAAGTAGTATATAACACCAGTCAGAAGTGAAATACCAGACAGTAGAACATTCAGAAGATCTAATTGAAGAAAACAGAAATGTAAACAGGCAGTGAAGGAACGATGAAGTTTGTGAGAGACAACTTATGGAAGATGTGCAAATAAAGAATTTAATGTATGATTTTTCACTTTTTTTTTACGAAAGAAAGAAGTAATCCTACATCAATGAATAAATTAGTTGCCCTCATCTGAGTTCTCGTCCACTACTACAATGTTAACCATGTAATCATTACAAAACTGTTGATTACTGTATATTTGAATCTAAGTTCGACAACATTTTACTTAGATTAGTTTTCAAGGTTAAGATATTTGAAAATCGATAGTTATTAGCTAAGTTGTGTGTGGGCTTATTTTTCTGGTTAGCGTTCTTTTAGCGAGCTATTTTTCTACGGGATAAGGTCGCTAACCTCATGCCCAACCCTCCTCCTTTATCCGGACTTGGGACCGGGAGTTACCCCCGGAGGGACTCCAGGTGGAGTCGGCGGCCTATGCTCCATTAGGAGTGACAAGCGTAAGAAGTAAGTGTAAATCATATTCAACCAATGAAAATAAAATAAAATTACATCATTCAATTAAATTATCCTACTTGTTAAGTTGGACAAAGTTTTATTGATTTTTGTTTCAGTCTATCTACTTTGTGAAATAGAAAAACAATTCATCTATCATCATTTGGTTTTAATAAATCTTATATTAGTTACTAAGTCAATTTCAGTTAATCAGGTTTAAAAATAAAATCATGTTAGCTATTTGGAAATAGTTGCTAGGACACTTTGAACCTTAGACTTCTTGTTATGTAATAACTGATAATAAAGCATAAGTATAATCTTGACTGAGTTAATATTGTTTACAGATTCGAATAGTCATTCTGTACAGACACTAGTTATTGATAAGAATAAGATGATCACATGAAATTAACAGAATTAGATCAATAGTGAGAAATAGGCAACAAAATATTGTTTACCATTCAGTCATTGAAAATAAACTTCTTTGTAAACAGATAACCACTGGTAACAAAAATCACTAAAACGAAAAGAATCAACAAATATCTTATTTACTCTAGTTAGAAACTCTTCAGTATTGTTTACCTAATACGTTAGATAGAATCTAACAAAGAGTATTTAACTCTATTGATGATTATTTAGCCGTTGGATGCCGGCCAGCTCAGTGGTTTAGTAGGTTAAGCGTTCGCGTGCGAGACTGAAGGCCCTGGGTTTGAGTCCCGCGTGCGAAATTGTGAATTTTCATCCCAATTCTTTACATTCCCTTATGTCAATTGTTTCACACTATATCTAATACATTTTTGGTTGTAAGCAGCTGATGAGAAACTACGAAATATAGTGAATCCATATTATTCTGCATCAATGTTCATTCTGGCTTTACAAAATTAATATCTCAGCCTCGCGTGCTGTTACGGGTATGTGGGCTGATGTCGCTTCCCAGCTGCCCACACCGTGGAAATGTATTTCTTGAGGAACCTGAAAAGGAAGATGGATTAACGTCGGTCTTAACAACCTGGGAGCGTGACCGCAGAGCCTAAGGGATAACTGCTTGTGGCCGGTCGTGCACTGTTTTTTGTGGGTTTTTAACGTATTAGCTCCATTCTTCAAAGAGCCTTACCACCGGAGACAGAAATCCGTGAGGTAAGGTGAGGCGTGACGTTTTTAGGGTCAACCTTTTCTAACCCCTTCCTTCCTTGTGAGAAGGCGGCACCGCTGCAGATGCTAGTTGCTGCTGTCACACCCCTCTACAGTCAGCAGTACGACTTCGCCCTCAGATCTTGAGTTGCTGCTTTTACTCTTGCCGTTTTCAAACCGACCTGCTTGGCATGGTACAACCTATAGGAACATATGTTCCAGCCAAAAGAGCTTGGTTGGGTCATCACGATAGACAAGTCCGATTGCCACATCATGGTAGTACATTATCTCATGATGTAGATATTAATTATTGCTTAAAAATAACAATGAAGCAATTTACACTTCATCTAAAACACATTTACAGATTAAAATCTAAGAAAGTATATTTGAGACATACAATTCATGTATTCTTATGTAGTTCACCATCTGTTTAAACTAAAATTTGGACATATATTACATTATTAAATACTCTTAACTTGTTATGATGTTTAGCCTTAATACACTAAGAAATTAGACTTGACTTATTCTTCTTCTTTTTTTTAAAGAACATGCATATTTCTTTTTTTTTTAAATGGATGACCAACAAGAAAAATTAAAGAAATCAGGCTGAAAGTAAAGTCATATGGTTTAAAACCATCATAATAATAATAGCGAAATGAATGAAAAGAATGAAGATGACTGTTTAGTAAATTGTATTTAGGATAATGGAACAATAGTTTGTATTGACTTCAATTAGATAATCGATAAAAATCAAGGAGCATTGAAAAAAAAAACTATTTCATTCGAGTATAGAACACTTCGACAGTGAATATCTACTACTCCCTTCAGAAATCGAACCCAGGAAATGTATATCACTTAGCAAGCACATTAAACTGTTAATTTAAAAAAAGTATATATAATCTTCAGTATTCATTTCATATTTATCGCACTGTGAAAATTCAAGCAACTTTGTCAAACTTTAACAATTGTATACTCATATGTCAAAAGATCTAGTCTATGATGATACTATCGGTAAATTATCCAGGAAATAATTCTTAAATCAGTTAATCAGAGAGCCTATGACTTATGTATGACATTTGAACGACGATTTAATGGTCTTGAGAAAACTCACTTACCTAATAGAGGGTTAAAAATTAGTGTGAGAAATTAGAATCGGGTTCTAGAAGTTAGAAGATAGGGTTAAGAATGAAAGTTAAAGTTTTCTCCCATAAAGTGACATTACCTATAATGTTAAAATGTTAGTTAGTCAAATGGATGAATGAATTTCGTGACAAAATATAAGACCCGTTATCTTGAATCTGATTGCTTTGTCCATAATTTATAGCTTTGCTGACAAATCAAAATCTAGTGGCAATAGTAAGCGTTGAACTAGTGACTGAATCCCCTATAATAAGTGTAGTTAACCATAAAGTTGTTGAAATATATAAACTAGTCTATTATTTAACTTATCTGGTAAGTTCATTAGTCACTGATGATATGAGCCTAATATAGATTATATGATATGACTAATAAAGTTAATTAGATGATGTTTTGGCATTCAATATAACTTTTAAAGTTATGTAATTAGTATTGTTAATGTTTGCTGTAAAGTTCAAGCATCTATTTTATATTCAATCGTTTTATCATTAGTCGTTATATTATAACTAAAAGCAATACTAGATGATGTGATAGCATCATATTCGTCAAAGATTTTGTACTGTTATCTGCTTATTTGGAATGCTTAATAAATATGCACTATATGAGATTTTTGGGAATTCTTTCATTCTTTTAATAAATAACTGTAATATATAGGAACAATAACGGGGCGGATTTGCATGCATATAGCATACAATTCTCTTTGAACCTAGCACACAACAATAGCATCATGCACTATCTCATCACCCTTGGCAGATCAGGTAACCCGAAAGTTACGAGAGCACCATCAGGACATACGACAGGTTAGGTAACCCTGTAATACATAAAAGTAAAGTTTTTTTACTGGAGACTTCATTTCAAGCTTTAATTCTCTTTATATTTGTGTTTTTCTCTCGGTATATTCGAATGCGTTACACAAATATGTTAACAACAATAAGATGTAAATTAGTTCAAATATTTAAAGTGAAACCACCAGTGAGAATTACACCCTTATTTGCAGCATTAAATAAGTGGGAAAATGTCCGAAAATTCTGGAAAATATACATTTGTTGAACACTGAGAAAAGGTGAGAATAATTTAGACCTACAGAATAGTCAGTACAACCGATTAGTGGATCAAACTAGAGTGTCTCAGTCATTCAAACAGCTACTCAATTTTATTAGCTAAAAAAAATTATAATCATTTAAATGCGATGCGTTCGATATCATTTTTTAATGCACGATATGATGGTGTTGTATACTGACAGCTGAAACGGAACTTCTTCCTTTTGATAGACTATATGCGTTACTGATATTCCTTCAGCGTCAAATTCAACACAATTCTTTTATTTCAGTAAAATCACAACCGAAAATATATGAATCGATAATTTAGAGAATAAAAAGATAGATAAATTGACATTTATTTTTACATTGAGATTTTATCGACAGCGATGATTTGAAAGATTTGACAAAATAAATTGTTTAGATAATAAACTACTACTAATTAAAATATAAGTAGTTAAAAGAATATAATAGCTTTTTGTAAAATCCCTGGAGTGATATTAAAATAAAATTCTCGAAAAAGGAAATTTATATTGATTTACGGTTTCTTTTTATATCACAGATTAAGTTGATGAATATATTGAAGGAAAAATTAATCACAGCCTTTTGTTTGATAGATGTAAAAAGATAGGATTATCTCATCGTGGTAACAACGACCAAGTTTTATGCTCCTACCAAAGCTAATAGTATTAGACGTAAATCACCACTTGTTTCATCCTGGAAATAAAGGAAATAAGAAATTCTTTCTGATCATTGTTCCAGCATAAATAGGAAAAAGTCTAGTTTGTTTTAAAAATCTATGAGGTTGTTTTAAATCTAACATCAACAATAATCCCAGTGTCTCAGTTACTGTGTTGGATCACAAGTCACGTGAATCCTTATTCTTTTAAACCTGCCTTCAGAACATCAAATAACCAGATAGATGATATGACGTACGTTCATTAGTTAAATAAATCCACTGACAGAATCCAATAGGTAGAACACAAGATTGTTATGTATCACTTATAATAATTTTTGACTATTATACATAAATTGGATATTTTTAATCCAGAGTTTAGTAACAGATTGTATGGTTAATTGAAAGTAATTGAAGAACAATATAAAATAGTAACACCACTGAATACATCAAGAAAGATAGTTTTAAATAAGCTGTAAACTAATGAATTAAAGAGTAGCTATCCAAGTTTACAGCTTTATTTTACTATTCATTTCAAATACTCCATTCAAAACTGGAAATATACTCATCAAAAAACTCGGAGACTTTTGTTTTTGATTACTGATAAGATTAGGGGGTACATAGTGTTGTGAGTTTTCGAATTAAAATAACAATAGTTGTATAGTGATGCCTTTTTAATGATTATTAAGTCCATGTCAGTCCATAATGAACATTAATTAAGTAATTTCGTGTATTAGTTGAAGTTGGACATTAACACCATTGTATACCGGCCAGCTTAGTGGTCTAGATATTAAGCAATCACTCGCGAGACTGTTATGTCCTAGGTTCCAATCTCGTGGGGCGCGATCGTGGATGTTCACTGCTGAGGAGTCTCATACTAGTAATAAACGGCTGTCTAGTGCTCCCAAGTTTTCCATGGTGATCTAGCTTCAACTGACTCATTAATTCAACTATAAAATTAAGTAATAGTCTAATAATTTTAGCACTGACCTTACAATTATAAAAGCATACACCTCCTATATGTTTGTAAACAATAACGTCTCAGTTTAAAAATATGAATATTTTAATGAAAGGAATTTATTCACTAAAGGTTTACTCATTTGAAACATGATTCACTTCATTTTATAGATCATAGATAGTAAAAACAATGATTGAAAGCTTCTAGTTTTGTAATTATCTCAGTTTTACAGATGATTTACTTTACATTTTTTATTGATTCAGCTTCATTTCCTTAAGAACACTCATATTTACATCAACAACATTATATGAGATGTTTATACATTAGAGTACTGTTTGGGAGATCTAGAAAACTCCTCAAAAAAAGTCATAAAAGGCTCTGAAAATACTGAGTAACATCTTATCTAATCAACATACACTGGAAGTTTTTCCAGAAACGTATAGAAAGTAAAACGTCACACTGGATGATTACCCGTACTACTACTATGATAAATGGCGTTCTAGAACTTTCCAGAAACCTAAGGCCATCTAAAATAAAATCCCTAGATTTTCTGTACACAAACGAACCTTTGGAGTAAAGCGTTTCTTCCATATTTCGTAACTTTTCTCTTGTGTTCAAATCGCTGTGTAGATTTAGCCTGGGGGTTACTAGAAGAGCTTAGGAACCGAATCTAGCGTCCACTTAAGAGAATTATCAAGTACTTATAAATTAAGTTTTAACTCTTTATACAAGACAAAATAATATTACTTATAGTTATCTCTTATGGCATTATCCATAAAAACTATAATTAGGGAGTTGAAGGCAATCGGCAGTAAAATGTGAACCTAGGTCTTGAACTTGTTAACACTCGTCACTAAGGTTTATTTTTAGTATCAGATATTCTCAGTTTTACCATGCGATTTAAATAAACATCACCTTGTACAACAGTCAAAAATGTCAACAACAAGATAAGATAGAACTTTGATTGAGTTCCCTTGGTAAGGAAATGTTTACATTAATTAATTATTGATCCCATTTGATCACTATTGCAAACTAACCTAATAGAATCAAATTGGTACCGATAACTACACAGTACGAGATTAATTTTTATTTGGCAAATGGCTGTAATTATAAAAAAACTTCTCGAAATTGGTAGCAATCTACTAACAGTTTTATAAACAGCTAAATTATTCATTTTTTTAGGGGTGCCTACATCTGACTCCATTTATATAGTATGATGATTGTTATCTAAATATGCATCCCGATTACCCTCGTATGTAATCACAGACTTAAATCGCATCAGTAAATAACAGAATTAAGTCAAATACGGGAATGAAATATGAATACTTATATTTCGTACACTCTCAGTGATTTGAACAAACAATCAGGGAAATGAAGCAAAGGAATAAAAGAGAGAGTGAAGAGAAACGGAATGATGCACAATGGAGAAGGAGAGTGAGCCAGCCCAACTTAATCTTGTGTGACTCAATATATATAACAGTTGAATTCATGAGTCGATGTAAGCTAGACCACCATCAAAAACCTCGAAGCATTCGATTTTCGCTTTGTCTCAGTATGGGACTCCCCAGAATTGCATATCCATGATCCCGCACGCATGACTCGAACACAAAACCTTTAGTCTCGCTCGCGAACGCTTACTCTCAATATTTATAGTCCAACCAGAAATAGGTTGCACACATACTGAACAGGATGAATATTTAACACATATACACATGGATAAAAAAAGGAATAATATGCGAATAATCAACAACATCAAAATATGGATTGAGAAGAATGAAGTGATCTGTCCAGAAGCTAGAATAGCCTATGTGGGCTTAACATAGTGTGCCAGCCACTACAGTTTTAATCCTAAACATTTAAGAAAAATGTAGTTGAAATTTAAAAAAACTACTTATAATCAAACTACTATAATAAGCAAAGATAGATAGTGGCTAGCATTGGAAGCCAGGACCCGAATTTCGTGCAATCTGAGACTCATCAACTGCATGTATCTGCATACCTTAGTTGATGTTCACCCCGAGACTTTAGTCCGATACCGTTTGATTCAAACTCCATCACTTTATCCACTTAACTACTAAGTCCTGTTAGACACTCTCTTGTGAGATGATAAGAAGATACAAGTAAATAATACCAAGTGAATTTAAACTATTATCATATTACTAGGTAAATGCAATTGGAATATAAAAACAAAACTGACAAATACGAATAGTGGCTAGTAGTGGAATCTAGGACGCGCGTTTCGTCCTGTTTGGGACTCGTCAGCTGGATGTAACTGCATCCCAAAGTTGATATTCAAGATACAAATAAAATAACAAGTGAATTTAAAACTGACAAATTTCACAAAAATATATTTATTACTTACATGTATATAAGATTCTAATGTTTTACCAGTTAAACTTGAGAATTCTTTTTTAATTATCCCTAAATCAACTTCACAACGTGATACAATAATACGTATAAGTGTTCTATTATCAGTTCCTAATCGTTTCATTGATTTTTCTAATTTCTCAGCAAAATATTTCGGTTTATTTTTAATACAAGAAACTAGAATATAAATATAAGAAGGAAAATAAATAAAGTTTTTGAATGATTCATTTAAATATACAATAGACTAAAGTATTAATCTAGTTAAGGGATGATTAATAGTGGATAACAATGAAATCTAGGACGCGCGTTTCGTCCTATTTAGGACTCGTCAGCTGGATGTACCTGGATTAATGTTCACTTAAGGCTATATTGAGGCGTTCCGCACAGGATGCACATATGTCAACATGAAACTGACTGATTGCAGTTCTAAATACCAATGGGAAGATACAAGTAAAACAACACCAAGTGAATATTAATCTAGTTATTGAAGCCTTAAAATATAATATTAATGGTTAATGTCATTGAAAGAGAATTTGTCTATGCATATGAATAATCATTTATTAAATGATACTGTAGTGAACAAGAACATGAGTGGGGGACAATCGATTCATGATCTCAACTACTGAAATAACTACAATCTCCACAAAATCCCTTCTGATACAACTAAATGTAAATGAACACAAAATTCCAGAACATGTTAATAAAATCTGAGAATCATACTGTAAATGGTTAATTTGCAAAATATCAATCAATTGTCTCATACTTGACTGTTCCTTTTGCAAATAGCAATCCATCGTCTCAGATTTCATTGTTCCTGCATTTTCATAGCAATTGCTTTCCGTTCCTATTCTTTCTTTCTCGATTTTCTACTGAAATACATTCTATTCCTATCATTAAATACTACTTATGTGAATATAAGTAGCCCACAACACAATACTATGTGTCAAAGAATCTAAGTTATTATAAAACAGTTCTCCAAGTAAAAAAACTTATTTTAGAGATGTATAGAAATCAATAACAATTATCATCTGTGAGATTTACTGAATGATAGCTTCAAAATTATATTTTATAATTTAGTGGGGCCCTTCATTTTGATGTCAGTCAGATAGGACAATGCTATGGACGGGCTTACGACTTTAGTGGATCGTATTGAAATACACATGTCGGCTATCCTCGTGTATAATTTTCGACTTAATCCGCGTTTATGAATAATAATTCAAATACGAGAATTGATTTTGAACATATATATTTCATGCACTCATTGATTTGAGCAAGCTATTAGGCAGACGAAACAAAGAGTGAAGAGCGAAGGAGATTGGAGAAGTGTAAAGAAATTATGCGCGATGGAGAAAGCGTGTGAGCCAACTCGGTTTAATCAAGCGTTAATCGATATTTGTAGTCGAACAAAACAAGTGACAGGTATGTGATGAGTAATATAAGAAACACCCACACATACGTTTACATAGAAACAGTCAGGGTTTATAAAGCGAATAACTAACATGGTCAAAATGTGACTCAGGAAGGACGAAAGCTAGAATAACTTATGTGGGCTTAACACAGTAACCAACACTATAATAAGTAGCATAATAGTATATAAAAATTTTCGTCTAAACTTGAACGAACAATTTCACAATATTTGTGAGTTGAGTTGATGTGAGACATTAAGGAGGAAGAATGTATTTGTAAAATCTCGAATCGTTTTGGTGTTTTGTTATATTTCACTGGCAAAACTTGAACTGGTCGACTGGATTATGAAAACTTAGATATCTGAGGGAAAGAACAGAATACAATAGACTGCTTGAATGCAATTAGACGATTTGGACTTCGCAGATCGCCTAGCCCTTCTATTGCATACACACCAACAAATGCCATTCAAGACAAACAGTGTAGCAACAGTCTCTGCCTCAACATACAAAAGAGAAAAAGCAAGATCCCCAAACAAAACGAAGAACACCAACAGAATCATACTTGATAGAAAATCTCTGGAAGAGGCGGAATCTTTCATGCACATGGTATGAATCATCGATGAACAAGGAGGATATGATGCAGACGTAAATTCGAAGATTGGCAATGCAAAGATGTCATTCCTAAAATTGAAGAACGTATGGAACTCAAAATTGTTAACCAATACCGAAGTCACAATCTTCAATACAAACGTCAAAACAGTTCTACTGTATGGAGCTGAAACCTGGAGAACTACTAAAACCATCATCAAGAAGGTACAGGTATTCATAAATAGTTGTCTATGCAAGATACTCAACATCCATTGGCCGGATACCATCAGCAACAGCCTTCTGTGTGAGAGAACAAACCAGCTTCCAGATGAAGAGGAAATTAGGAAAAGACGATGGAAATGGATAGGACATACATTACACAAATAGTCAAACTGCATCACAAGGCAACACCTAACTTGGAATCTTGAAGGGAAGCAGAGAAGAGGAAGGCCAAAGAATACATTACGTCGGAAATCGGAAGTGGACATCCGAAGAATGATTAGCAACTGGAAAGAATTGCCCAGGATAAAGTTCGATACAGATTCCTGGTGAGAGATCTATGCTTCATCACGTGGAGGAACAGGTGTAAGTCAGTAAGTATAACATGAACTCATTATTATTAAACAAAACTCAAACACTGAAACTACTTCATGTAATACACATTTATGATCAATTTTTATCCTATATGCTCAAATAGTATTTTCGTAATTAACTAAAAATTTGTTTAGATTGAATATGATTTGAAATATTCCTATATTGCAAATTTAGAACAACATATATGAGTTAAAATTTATAAATGGTTATGACTATATATTGAAAGAAATTTAAAGGTTATAATGACTGACTATGTGTAGATAAGTCATATTAGTAAATTAATTCATTAAATTATTCTTTATTATTATTCAACTATTAAGTATACCAGTATAGGGGTTGTGGAGACTATTACGTTTTTGATTGATATCATGAACCGATTGATGTTAGACTACCATTGAACACCTAGAAGCACTAGACGGCCGTGACTAGTGGAGCTAATTCGTGTCGGATAGAGACAAGTATCTACCTCAGTACAATGGAAGATTGTAGCGCAATTTGGTGGATTGGTTGAGGTTAAACATTAACACCATTGGATACCCGCTCAATGGTCCACTGGGTTAAGCGTTTGCGCGAGAGACTGAAGGTCCTGAGTTCGGATCCCGCGAGCGGGATCACGGATACACACGGCTGAGGAGTCCCACAATAGGACAAAACGGCCATCCAGTGCTTCCAGGTGTTCAATGTTGGTCTAGCACCAATCGGTTCATGATCTCAAACAAAAAATATTAAGTATACATTTATCCGGCGGCCTGCTTGAATATCTGGGCTACCTGTTCCTCCGATCTAGATATTTCATCAAGTTATCTGTTTTGTTGTTTGTTTTAGCACATCACTATGTCTATTGTGCGCACAATCTATTCAGGCGCGTTTATGAAAAGTTTACAACCTTCCGCTATACGGGATACAAAAAGGTACAATCAGCGACATCATGGTGGCTGGCAATATGCATTGAAACGAATGAACAGTAATCAAATGTGAATTACCGAACTCCTAACATTTAACTGGTCATCATTCAAAATTTATCGTCACAATCGATCAAGGTATAAGAAAAGGAAACTTGTTGAAATACTTTATGCTGAGAATTCTATGTTGTACCAAAAATATAATGTTGAATAAAGCTTCTAATAATATTAATAATAATAGTAATAATAATAATAATAATACTAACCGATAGATAAAAATGCTCGAAGTGTATCACCATGCATTTCTGACTTTAAAGTATCTTCAATATTCTTTTTACCAATAGTTGAATATTCTTCGAATAATAAACGTAAATGAGCAAATGACCGTGAGACCAATATTTGAACAAACCTATAATGATGTGAATAAAATAAATTGATGATTGTATTCAAATTGATTGATAAACATCTAGTTAAACTAACAAATTATTCTCTTATCAACTATTTGATAGAGAGAACATTCAAAAATTCGATTCACTTATTGTTTTACTTATATCTTCGCACTGTAATTATGGACTGCGATTGATCGGCCTCATGTTGGCATCCCATTGCTGCTAGCCACCATCCATATTTGATTCGAAAATGAGGTTTAAATATCAGTCAGTCAGTCAGTAACAACGTAGAACTTAGTACGTACGTACATCAGTTCGAGTTGCCATACCACATTAGCACAGAGATGCAGTGGTCGATTCAAATCCCGTAGTGGTAGAGGTAGCAAGAATATAAGCAGTGATCGGGAAGATTAGGGTTTGGAGATGTTTAAATATAAGAGTAAATTGATAGATGTAATATAGACAATGATTCATTAAGGTACATTTAACATTTAAAACTATTTGGAATCTAAACAGAAACATGACACTACAGTCAATTTTGTATTTTATTACTTAGTACAGTCTTTACAGAATGAATATATGTCAATAAGAGATTGATCAATTGCAGTCTTAAACAACAATGGGGAGATTCAAATAAACAGTACCAAGTGAATTTGAACTTTAACCCATTGTACAAGCAAGTGGCTATCAGGACTCAGTAGTTAAGTGGATAACATAAGTGCTTTTTAAACGAACGGGACGCAGTTGGAGTCTCAGAGTGAACATCAACTCTGGTATGCAAGTACACTCGGCTAATGAGTCTTAAATAGGACGAAACACGCGTCCTGAATCCCATTGCTAGCCACCATCTATTTTTGTTTAAAACAGAACGTATATATACATTTACCTGAATAGTATTGGTGAACTTTGTATGGCATCAAACTTTGAATGTCCATATGAATATATCATCATAAACGGCAGCCTTAGTAACATATGCTTAATTGTCGAACATTACATCAAATTACACTTTCAAAGAAAGTCAAAACATTAGATCTAAGACAAAAGGCGAGAAATTTAATGTAGTGGTTGGAATCATATAAGTTTGTTAGCATGAATCACTATCCAACCCTGCCTAAAAAGTGCTTGTGACTTAATGACAATATCAATGCAATCTGCACAGCATATCCATATGCAAAAGAGACTGATTAATTGCAGTTCATAACATCAGTGAGAGGATTCATATAATCATTACAAATGGGTCTAAATTCATCCTGATGCACGAACTAATAGATACTCAGACCCAGTAGCTAAGCGGATAACATATTAGAGTTTGGAATGAAAGGTACTAGATTCGAGCCTCGAGAAGGATATAAATACTGGGGTGCTGGTATATCCACTTAAAAAGTCTCAAGGAAGATGAGACGCGCGTCCCTGATCCCACTGCTGGCCACTATCCAACATTTTTCAGGAAGCACTTATTTTTTGAGTTCATCGCATGCAACGAGTAATTTGTTTCCTGGAAATACATTTTACATAGTTGTAAATACGTTAAGAACTATTCTCATCCAAGTACTGCGGTTGAGGTAACCTCTAGATATTCCTTGTATAACAACAATCCGGATCGGTATTTAAATACGCCATAACATCAGTTAGACATATTAACTGTTCCTCAATTCACCATTATCAATCTATTCAGTGTAAATATTTGTACCATAAGATACTATATAAAATCTGAATATAAATGTTTTTAAACCATAGACCATTAGTCGTCTCAATTGGTAACTTAGTACACACTGACCAGTCTGTAGTCATTCAACAACATAGACAAGTGCTAGGCTATGACATGACGTCCCGTGACATCCGACTCAGATACACAGGCTTCTTGTACGTTCTCATAATCAGCTATCCGATTGAAGAGACTGAAAAATAATAGGAAAGCTGTAATTTGCGAAAACGGATTATTAGGTTCACAAATAATATATATATGATCTAATCAAGGAGATGTAAGCGTAGAACTTGTTAATAAATATAATCGAATTCCCCTAGTAACGTGTCTTATGATTCCTCATCAACTCCTTGACCTTGAGATGATATATTTGCGCAAGTACGTAAATATGCTTAGACTCACCGAGCTTGTCAGATTACTCTACAGAAATACTGATAGAGGATACATAAAGCAGTATAGAATTATTGACTATCCAATCTAGCTCGCTTAATTTTACTACAATACACACCAACCGACTTGGGAAACTCTTACTTTATCAAAATCAAACAAACTATTAAAAAAAAGAAAGCAAACTAACCTTGATTCATCTGTCCCTAATTTTTGTTCACCTGCTCTGTATAAATTTTCTGCATCTTTACGAACAAGTTCCATATCTACTTTTAATGATTCATCTCTATCACCTTGTAATAGAGCAACACATACACGTTTAAAATGACGTGATGTATCACTTTTTACATCATTCTCTAAATTACGATTAGGGAATACTGATGAAGAAAGTAAAATTCAATAAAAATAAAAAGAATATCTTAGGAATCAGTTACATTAAAGAAATTTGATGGATATTTTTATTATGAAGGCTAAAATTAACTTTGATTTGTGACTACATTTTTAGATAGTTCCATTTGGTAAAGTTTCAATGTTTAATATATACGATCAGTAGTATGTAGCTTTTAGTGATCCGTTGATCTGATTTCATTTAGATCGTACGAATGTTTGTTATCACCTATCCTCGTATACAATCATCGACTTAAATCACGTTAGTCAATAATGGAATTTAGATCAGTCAATTAAAGAGAATGGCCTTTGATGAATACATATATTTTGTATGTAAAGTGAATGTAATAGAACACAGCGAAATAACGCGCAGCGCAGATGGCTAGTAAACCAGCTCATTTTTAGTCAGGCGTTACTCAGTATTTATAGGCAGACAAAATCAATTACAGACATGTGATGAGACATGGGGTATGAAGTGTACACACTTACCTACTTACTTACTTACTTACGCCTGTTACTCCTCTTGAAGGAACAGTCCATAAGCGAATAATTAACAAGGTCAAAATATGACTCAAGTAGAATGAATAGATTGGGCTGTCCGAAAGTTAGAATAAAGTATATGGGCTTAACATAATAACTGACACTACAAGCTAATATTAGAGTATATATATCATGCTATTTGGTCTTCCGTGTTAATTAAATGCTGTTCATGATGCCTTCAGATAACTATCGATCATAATCAAATATCGTATACTGTTTACAGTGTCAAGTGACATTTTATCAGTGAAGGTAGGAGTTACTAATATCAGCATTGTAGACTAGATGGAATACAATTGATTACTTGTTATATGCCGATGAGAATTATGAATGGTAACTCTTGAGAACTATTTATGGACCATATACGATATATATATTTTTACTACATAATTATTAGGTAGCTAAACTATGCATATTCATGTTCCTCTTATTAAAAGCTTTATTTTAACCCATAGACTATTATTATATGATTTACCGTTCTTGAGTTATGCCCAATCTATTAATTACAGTCTCCCAAATTCACAGTCACTTTTGAATAAATCTTGTACAAATGTTATTTTCTATTTTATCACACGATGTGGTCTGTCTGGTTTGTATATAAGCATAGTATGTTTGAAATACGTGATTGATATCATGGAGGCTAAAATTGATGTTCTGGACTTAACAGGCAGGGAGAGGGATCGATAAAGACTGTAGATTGCTCGTACGGGTTTTATGTGTAATTGGTGATATCATTATGTTATATATTAACAGGGCCATAAGTTATATCATCACTCTTTGATGACTAATTATTATACTTGCTTCAGTATTACGATGAGTTAGTCAAAAGATGAATGACACATTACTAACATCTCTGAATGCTACATTATTATGCAAAAAAGATAAATGACTACTAGGATGCCTTAATTTCTTTCACGTTGTAGACATCTATGATTTGTAAAAATCAACAGGTAATTTAAGGGCCTCTTACAGATTTCCCTTAACGATCAAACAATAAATTTTAAAAATTTCCTGAATACTTAATCCAAATAAAATTATATGTTTGATGGATCTTAGAGATTAGTTTGATTTGAAAATGGTATTTTTTTATTACAGATTAAAATCAACTGGAGCAATTATCAACACACGATATGGAAAAGTGATTAGAAATATGGGGTTGCGGAGATTGTTAAGTTCTTGATTGAGATCATGAATCGATCGATGTTAGACCACCACTGAAAACCTGGAAGCGGTGGTTCAGTGCTTACAGATTTTCAGTGGTGGTCTAACATCGATCAATTCATGATCTCAATCAAAAATTGATTATATTTGAAAATGAGAGCCACTTCATCACAATCATATAGTTTAAACATAACACTCTCATTACGAGGCCTGAAGTTATTGCATTCAATCATAGATGGATGTGAACTGTTAAGGGATTATATATTAGAATGACATGTCAGTACAGTACTTCATACTGACGAAAGCCATTTTCTAAAGCATACTATAGTGAATGAGAACACAAGTGGGGATAATCACATGTATTTGAATACAAAATTACAGAACATCTCACTAAAATCTGAGAATCATACGGTAAATACTTCATTTGCAAAATGTCAATCAATTATCTCAAACTTGAATGTTCTTTTTGCAAATGTCAATCAATCATCTTAGACTTCATTGTTCTTTCAATCCTACATCGATCAATCTCTGTTCTCGTTCTTTTTTCTCTGATATCCTTAACCTTCTGCCGCCAGACATTTCACTTTCGATTGGTGATACATACTACTTATATCTGTAGACATCAGTAGCACATACCACAATACAAATAAACATTATTGTCTTTAACGATGTTTCATCACAATAATACTAATATAATTCAAGAGTGTTCAAACTTCTCGAAGGAAATTATAACAGATATTTTCATTTTGTGTAGAAAACAAGCTATTGATGTTAATTTTCTTTACTATAATGCATAAAATACCAAGGATTTAATAAAAAGAAGTTAAATTATGCCTTAATTTTTGTGACAGTCTAATAGATCAAATTATAGTTCATGATATTATGCTAAGGAGTCCCACAATAGGACGAAACGTTCATCCAGTGCTTCCAGGTTTTCCATGATTGTCTAGCTTCAATTGACTCATGATTTCAACTATTGATAAGTTAAACGCTAAGAATGAATAAATTTTATTATGAATAAAGAATATGAAATTATAAATAAATCGCTTACTTTTAGAATAAGTCTCTTTAATTTGCTTAATTTGTGCATTTGTTCTAGAGCATAAAATTTCAATTAAAGCATCTTCATCCGTACCAGCTCCTTTCATTGATCTACGTAGTTCATGTGCATCAAATTCAACTGGTGAATAACATAAAGCTTCCATACAATCATAAAAACTTCCACTTAATTCTGACTTAAATTTCGAGGTTAAATCTTTACCATACATTGATTTATATTTTTGTGTTATAGTTACTCGTTGTTCAGAAGATCGATGACCCATCACTTCAATTAATGATTTTTCATTAGTTCCCATTCCAGCCATAGCTTGATGTAATTGTTCACAATCTTTATCAACATCAAAATTAGCTGATGGTTTTAAAGTTGGTTCGAGCTAATCAAATGAAAATATAGAAATCCATATTGAGTAAAGAACAAACTTTTATTTAAACATCTAAACACTTGATTATCAGACATTAAGACTGCGAAAAACATTACATCGAACAAAGCGGACGCCCTATTCATCTTCCCCTGCATGTACATTAATTAGTAGTCAAACGCTATGACATGTCCTCACTTATATCAAAGCACGTGGACAACTGCGGACACACATTCGAATGGAAAAATGCGGATAGAGGTAATTACAAAAACACCAGAAAAGTTTTAGAAGCTTGGCACTCAGGTCAATCAGCAAGCACATTGAAATTGATCCAAACTATCAACTGATCAGGAGAATTATGGACAGACATAGAACCAAGAATCAAACAAATAGAAGATGCAACCAAAACAAAAAAAGTAAACAATGACAAATTTAAGGTCAATAAGAACCAATCAACGCTGAGGTCTATAGGACACACTGTGAGCCAGATGTGGAGAAATTCGAACACTTCACTTCTGCCTAAAGTTTGTGCTGATGATGTCGTTCAGAAGGAAAATGAAAGCTCCACGACCAAAGCATCCAGCTCAGAGAACAAAACTCCATCAAAATCATCCACCTGAGCTACAAATCTTCACCATCTCAGACATTTCAAAATCATGTAGATGACGATGAATCACAAAAGCCATTGATGTTCAGGAAGTAAACTATTGTTATTTGATAAGTAAAAATATTTCATGAGAATAGTATATATATAAATAAAAATTGTTGTTAAACTGAATAAATGTTTTTGCAAAAAACCTTTATTTAAAAAAATAGTCGTACTCTTACTAGTGACTAGTTTCTAAAAACATTACCCAGAGCTTTGATTGGAATCTGTGGTTTGTGGGATTTATGACGATGAGACCGGGACGGTTAGTGTCGATAACACGAATTAGTCATCGCACTATCTTATCAATAGGATGAAGTTGGATTTGTGAACCATAACGCAGTGGTATATTGTTACCTTGTTCAATCTGAAACTTAAATGTCATATTATGATAGTCCAAAGCCGCCAATCAGAACTCTAGGCTGCTCATACGGATTTGCGCGTCATTGCTCTGATCGATAAGTCACTTCTCTCTAATCGGCGGTCACAAGTTATAACAATTGGCGACGGGAATGGAAAAAAGCGATCCAAAGTTAGTCTGTAATTGGACGAAATTCGGTCTAATTATTTCGAGCAGTCAGCATCCAGATTTGTCATCAGTGTACTTGAACGACATTGGTCACTATTTATACAGTAATTCTCATTGCCGGTGCTGATTACAGCTGCTATTTGAAAGACAGTTGGAGTTCTTAGTCAAATTACGCACGCAGCTGCTGAATCACTCATGCTTTGGAGATGCGACGGAAGTGGATGGATTAATTTCTCGATTGCACACTGAGCTAGAAAATGATTGCAGCCTCCATGAATCTTCGATAAACAGTATTTCAAACGATGCAGAAGTCACTCAAGATCCGCCCAGTGGTCCAGTACTATCCATTTCAGGAACATGCCCGGTAATGGATTTAAACTCCATTATCGCCGAAAGAGCATGTGCAGACAGTGACTTATCCAGCTCACAAACAGACGCCTTGTTAAATGTTCATAGAATTGTCACAGTAACCGCCCATGAAACAGAAAACAAATCGAGCAATACACTGAATGCAGCTGCTCCAAATGGATCTCATCATTCTGCGACAGAAGTTTCTGACGAATCTTATTATCGAGATTCTCTTTTACTAGAAAATAAATCGGATGTATCAAATGATGATCAGAAACCTAATACGACTTTGATAGATCCTGATTACCTTAATGATCTATTATCTACAAATAAGGCTCCCAATAAAATTGACAACAATATCTCAGAAGATTCAAAATCTGATGACTTCGAATTAAGTGGCGTTTATCTTCACTATCTGGTCAATTTTACTGGATTCTCTGTTCAATATGTTTAAATAAAGTCAATTTAATTGTAATTTGGGTAAATGAGGACCCAACATTATTTCGCGGGGGAGGATATCAACTCCGGATCCTCAAAATAGGGGAGGTGTGTTATGTCCCGACAAGAATAATGAATGGTAACTTTTGGGATTTATTGATGGACCAATACTAAACGTATATTTCTATTGTGTAATTATTAAGTAATTAAACTATGCATATTCATATTCCTCTTATTATAAGCTTTATTTTGACCTATAAACTATTATTATACGTTTTACCATTCTTGAGTTATACCAAGTATATTAATTACTACCTCCCTCAATCACAGCCACATCTGGCTGATTCTTGTACAAATGTTGTTTCATATTTTATTGGTACGTTGTGGTTTGTTTGATTGGTATATAAACTCAGTATGTTTGAAATACAGTGATTCATATCGCAGAGGCTCGAATTGGTGTTCTGGACTTAACTGGCTGGGCTAGACGGAAAGCAGGGCCAATCATAACTCTTGGTTGCCCGTACGGGTTGATTCGGTCGATAAGTCACTGCTCTCTAATCGGCGGTCACAAGTCATAACACATATGTTTGCACTCTTTAAATGTTTATAAATTCAAAATGTCGAAGTACTTCATATTGGAACGGCATGGATGAATAAAGATTCCTAGTTTTTAATAATTCTCCGAACAATAACAGTCCTTGATGAAATTTATATTTGAAATATATGAATTAATACATTATATTTAACAAAAACCTACTGGGTATTCTTCCACATCACGGTACTGATCATGTGTAGATATATCAACAGAACCCGACTTAGTATCTTCAGTATTATCGTCTTTTTGACTTGTCTACATAATTTTAAAAAATCCACAAATAAAAGCAACATTCTTTTGGTTTAATTTATGATCTAGATAAGAATAGTTCTTGAAAATGCTTACCGAAAACTTCTTAGACTATTGGATTAAAATTTATCAATAGAAAAACTGACCTATAACTGGAGAATTTTTATTCCAGGAAGTTGCAGTAATTACCTCTTATCGCTCTGATGATTTACTAATTATAAACTCTTTACTTCAGTTACTCTATTTTCAGACTGTTTATACACCACGTAAGTTCGATTTCTTTAAATCTCTAATCAAAACACCTTAAGTCAAGATGATCGGTCATAAATTCCGTATCAGTTTCACTAATGAGTGATGCTATTATACTCAATCAAAGAGAACAATTATGCAATGATGATATTTTTATTACAAAACGGATTGGGAAACACTGGAAAAACCTCCTTTGTTTTAGGCAATTTTGTGGAGTTTGCCGATTTTTCGCAGTTTAAATTGTGAACTGATCTTAGACGGACCACTATTAACTGCCAGGAAGCATTGGACGGTTATTTTTTCCTATCATGAGACTCCTCAGGTATGCGCAGGAAACCGAATCCTTAAGCTCTAGATCATTAAGCCCGCACTCAATGGTGTTCATATCTAACATGTACACCATTGAACACTGACTTAGGGACTGGGATCGTGGGTGCGCACTGCTGGGGAGTGCCCTGGTTTTTAATGGCTGTCTAGCTAAGTGCAGTTCATGATTTAAAAAATGGTAATTACCCGTATTCATCGCTGAATACTTTTCTGAATGATCCGTTGCTATTCTTGAATTGTTAAATCCAACAACTTTATGAATACCCACTTTTGATCCGAATTTAAGTATTTAAAATCAAACTACTACTGGAAAAATTCATTCACCACAAAGTTTCAATTCACATCAACATTTTAAGTTTGTCAATGCATCAAGGTGATTTTGATACATTGCATTTTATAACATAATCAGCGGGACACATTTTGTTTAATGTTGAATTCTGATTTAGTGACAAAAACTTCACAATCAATACAATATGAATAACCTGGTTAGTGGAAATTTAACCTCAGTTTTCATTTATGAGCATTTACGAAGTAGCGATAATGTATAGAACAATTTTTTAGTCAACTTTCTCTGGTTTGAGATATTACTTATAAATAGTTTGTTAGTTAATATATTTTATTGTCACACGCTTATCACGTTATTGTGGTAACTTCTAGTTTCCGTCTCACTTCTCACGTAACACTGGCTTGCTGACGTATTCTTATAACCTGAAGATAGTTTGACTTGATACATTCATAGGTTACAGTCAGCTATCCGGTAAACTATTCTGTATTGTTATTTGAGATTCTTAAATTTAATTCCCATACTATCTCAGAAATCTCTCTCAAGTTACGCAGTTTGTCGAATAATCATATATTAACGGATATCATCAAAACTTTACTGTTCAAATTTTCTTTTTCACACTTACTATTGTTCAAAGTATCACTGAAAGTCTTCAGTAATCAAGTTACTCACACACTCCATTTATTTCTCAGATTTTGATAAGGTATGGACAACTTTGAGATAGTTTTCGTAAATCACCCCTGATGTTTTGCTAAGATTGTGTGAATGGACGTCTTTACCGACTTTAGTTCATTAGAAATTATTAGTACAGTGAATAATAGATTTAAGAGTATAGAAGACATACAGACATGCAGAGTTATCTTATAAACAGAAGGACAATAATTTACCTGTGCGCTGAATCACCACCTTTTCAGTTTTTACAGCCCTACCTCGGAATTGAACTTTTAACTCATCTGAAAAATAACTGCTGACTGAGATCCCTAACTAGCAGCCATGAAAACTAAGTTCGTGCATTTGTTGAACACATCATGAACAAATATTTTTAAACAATATTACACGTTATGTGGTTTCAATATCTTCTATTATTTTACCTTCGTATTAACTTATAAATGAATAACTAACCTTTTCTGGTGAATAGGGAATATTTTCTTTGTTAAAGGAACTTGGTCTGTTAGGTGTAGGTGTTTTAGGCGGTCCCATTGATTTATTTTGATTTGATTTTTTTCCCGAATCTTGAGAAGCTCTATGGGGTTTTTTAGCTTTAATTGGTTTATCAAGATGAATCGTTAATAAGTAGCTATCTTCATTTTCATCGAAATCTGCAGAGATTACCTGAAAGGTGTGTGTGTGTGAGAGAGAGAGAATGAGAAAATAGATGACATAATATGTGTCATTTATGAGAGGCTTTATTTTATACAGTTTCCAAAACTGTCTAAGAATGTTTAGCAAATAATTTGTTTAGAAACTCAGATTATAATAGGCAATGGATTATTGATATGCACTCAACCGAAGATAATCAATAAAAAGAGGTAGGATAAGATCATCACTTAAGTCAGACAAAGTAAAATGGATAACTTCGAAATACAAAAAATCAATAGGACACCAAACCACAATCAAGATGAACATATAAAAAGAGATATTAATAGCAGTGAATGCGATGGAAATATCGGATTGGGGTTAGTAGTAAGAAAAATGAAAGCTCAAAATTTACAAAGTAAAAACCCATTAGTTTAGGTAAACAATGAAGGTTTATGGGTGGGGGATTTGTGAAGATTGTTGGAGTTTGTAGTTTGCATCAAGAAGCGAACTTAGTTAAACAATCGCTGTAACTCGCGAATCCCAGTACTAATAATAATCATATTTTCACTAGTGACTAATTTTCGGTAGTAATCCCTGAAGTTATAACGAGAAGCCATGGCTATTGGAGTTCAATAACGCCGGTAGTGCAACACTTATCACCAAAATCATTAGATGATGGTTAACTGGAGTTAAAAACATAAGTCATTGAACATTGACTCGATGACCTGAAGAATAAGAGGTTGCTGCGAGGCATAAATATCGTGGGTTTAATTCTTAGCAGTGTCGTGCATGTGTACTACTGAGTAGTTCCATAGTATGATGAAACAGCTACCTAGTACTTCCTGCTTTTCAGCCGGTCCATGATGTAAAACTACAAAATAACTAAATGATAATTACATTGGTTGTTAATTGAACATGTTATTTCATTATCTTTAGACTATGCTATAATAAGACGAATGCCCTAAAAGTGCAAATTTGCGGTTAACCTTAGATTTTTATCGCATAGTTATCAAAAAACTTGGATTATTGTACTCTTATTTGCCCTAGTTTTAAAATTCTAATTTGATGCATAAACTGTTGTTCTGAGTTATTGTTAATTAATTTTGAGCCAACTAATTAGTTCTTTTTCACTTATGGTATAATTATGCCCATATTATAGTTTCTTATTTATGTTGAGGTGCGATCTGTAAACTTTTGTCTATTATCACATTACCATTGTCTTCAGTGAGTTACTATTTCACAACAGACACGGTTGAACTTCACTGGTCACGTCTTCTCACCAGAACTCCAGCAAATACCTCTTGAAGCCAGTCACTATTGAGTACATAATGATTATCATCAGAAAAGTCCAGATGCACACTGCTGAAAAGTTCCATACTAGTACGAAACGGCCGTCCAGTGCTTCCAGGTTTCCCATGGTGGTCTAGCTTTAATAGACTCATGAACTCAACTATTGAATTATTATCATATTAGTTTAAGTTATGCGTTGAACTGTGTCATAATTTCTCTTATTTCGACCCAGCTACATTTACTGCTTAGTAATCTTGGATACTAAATCACTCGACAAGTCCCCAAATCAGGACATGGTTAAACAGGAACGTAATTATATTTCAAATCAAAAGGTTGGATTGAAGTAAGAATCACAATAAAATCAACATTAGCATATTAATAGTTCTTACATGAGAAGATTCTGGAGTCTTCCTCCAAGTACCCACTAGCTGTAATTGGATAAGTAATAACCATACACAGTGCCACAACATAATTCCCCACGGAACATGCTTTAATCCAATTCTTATCCAACTAACAAAACTGCATAGTCAAGTTATCAATAGACGCAAACTATTGATCTCTCGATCAAAAGAACATCACTGAAATACTGGCTACTAAAGATCATTGGTCTTATACAGGTAAGTTAGAGTAATACTTGATCTATAAATTATGTAACCACTTATATAATTATAGCTCGTTCACAAAGGCCTTAACATAATACAAGAATCTTGTTTTAACCCATGACATTGAAATGTATATTTCGTAATATGAACTTATAGTGATTATCTTTTCAATATAATATAATGTAATAATAATAATAATAATAATAATAATAATAATAATAATAATAATAATAATAATAATAATAATAATAATATAATGAATTCAACAACTTACATTACCAATTTTAGCTTGTGATAAAAGTCCTGCAAATACCTTATCTCGTTTTATGTATTCAATTAAATGATATTTTATATGTTCAATTTGTTCATTTATATTACCCATCCCTGGACTTATTGTTGATAATGATTGATTTATAGAATTAACAGAATCATTTTGTTTTGGTGTAATTTTCTCTGTTACTTGTTTCATAAGTTCTCGAACTTCTGTCACAGTCATATGACGTGTTTGATCAATACACTAGAGAAATGAAGGAAGGAAATTAGATGGAGAGTAATATTTCATGTTGACTAAAATAGATTATGTTAAAACTTATGATATCCACTTGGTATTATTTACTTGAATCTTCTTATTGGTGTTTAGAACTGCAATTGATTAATCTCTTATTGGCATATGTGCATATTTTGTATATTGCCTCGATACTACCTTAATTTACTAGCATTATAAGCAAAGATGGATAGTTGCAATACTTATAGTGTGCACATATTCCAATAAGAGACTGATCGATTGCAGTGATAAACATCAATGGGAAGATTCAAGTAAACAATATCAAGTGAATTTCAACTTTAACCCATTGCACATGCAAGTGGCTAACAAGAATCAGTAGCTGAGTGGATAACGCGATAGTGTTTGAAGAAAACGGTACTGGGTTTGAGTCTCGGAGTGAACATCAACTCTGCGATGTAGTAACATCCAGCTAACGAGTCCCAAATAGGACGAAACGCGCGTCCTGGATTTCACTGTCAGCTACTATTCATTTTCGCTTATTATGTCGCGCACTTTCTCAATTGGATATTTCAATTCAATATAAATTCACAGTGATTTCTTTGTGCTTGCAAGGAAATGCTTACTAGTACCTAAACAGTCAGTGAAAATAATTTAGTGGTTAACTTGATTTTGAAAAGTAGTGGATAAAGCATTGAAGTCTGAAGTAGTAGATGGTTTATTCGACTCTCAATGCCAATATTAACACATAGACACAAGTACATTCACGGAAAAAATTCAAAAAGAGAGTAACATAAGCCTTGGATTCCACCTGGAGTTACAAACGAAATATATTAGATAGATTTTGATTTGAAATTTTAAACAAAAGAAATAGAAAATCGTATGGGTATACATAAAATGAAAAGGTTAAAATGAAAACTTAAGTTTATTTCAATTGAGTACTTTGAACTGTCTAAAACGTATCACCTAAGTAATCACCATAAGACATGTCCCAATTCTTAAGCAGTAATACAATCATGAGTCAATTGTTAAAGCAAAGTAGGATGTACCCTTTTATGAGTGCCCATATTTATAATATTGGCGTAGTAACTATTCAAACCTAACCACCATCATCAATAATCTATTAGAAGAGAGTGAACTTCATTGGGACCGATTGCTTTTAACACATTCCCTCTGTAGAAGAGGCACTATTTCTGATGTTGAATATATATAAGAAACAACTATATGCTTGCTATAACTGTGACACGGCAGGTTTGAGGGTAGCGAATTATCGATCGGACCAAAGACGCACAAACACGTAGAACGACCTAGAGTTCTGATTGGCCCCGCTTCCCTGTCTAGCCCAGCAGTTGAGTCAAGAACGCAAGTCTCAGCCTCGGATATATGAATCATTATATTTCAAACATACTTTGTTTATATACCAGTCAAGCAGACCACAACGTACCATAAAATAGAAAATAACATTGTACAATATTGACCAGTAGGAAAATGACACATGAAATAAGTACTGACTAATAAGTAAATAATACCATTTCCAAGTCCAAGAATAGCATTAAACTTAATAGAATAATTTCTGGGATATTTTCCTGAATATCCCAACAATGCTATTTTAAATTCATTCCCAAACCTAAAATTGACAATTGTTAGTCTTCAATCAGTCTACCTGAAATGATAGATCATTAGGAATACAGTAATGTTATCGAAAGAGTGCTTCAGTTTCAATAATTAATTTCTATCAGATTTCATGTTTAGTTTCATTCCATACATTGATATTATTTTATCTTATCTGTTTCTTTTAATTTGAATTTTTAAATCACCAACTGTTTGTAGCTTGGCAACCACAGATAATCAATAACATCTAGACACCAGTCCCATCCACGTTTCGGACTCAATAGCAGTACATCCACAACCACACGAGGGGTGGATCACAGGGTCTTCATGTTCCAGCGAGAGCTTAACGTTTAAACCAATGAGCTGAGATTTAAATAGCTTATAGTTCTAACTTTAGTTAATTCTCTATATCGAGCGACAACCACTCCGCTTTCACTGATGATCCTTGTCTCATAACGGATATGGTTGAATTGTACTGTATTTCCTATTGTTTTGTTTTTCATTCAAGTTAATAATATTATTTATTCACCTTCGGGTTTTTTAAATACTATCCTGATATGAGGTCAAGTAACTTGAAACAATAAACTTCCTAGTCAGATCTCATATTGACTATGACCAACAATAAAGTTTATTCTTTATGCAAACTGTTGTACAGCATTCTTTTATATTCTGTTTGCTTAAATTCATACCAAGAAATTAAACAATTATCAGATCTAAAGTTTCATGAGCCATAAACTTCAGTCGAGTGTTTATTGTTTTATTAAACAACTGAAGAAAAAAAAATGCTGTATATGTATTAGGGAGGGAATATTTGTGTTAAGAAGAGGCGAGAAAACTTGAATATGAAACTTGGGTTATTATTCCCTTGGAAAGGATAAGTTTTAAAATCCATGACGAATGTTTGTCAACAGCAATTTTTTTTATAGTCTCAATAATAATCACTCATCATTGAACTCATTAATTGATGCTTTCTTTCATTGTTTATAAATTACAACCAGTTAATTATGAATCTATTACTCAGCTCCGTATAGATGTCGTAGTTATGTATTTATGGAAATTTATTATTTGGGGTAAGTTGTGGTCTTATATTTCACAATTAATCATGTAAGTTATAATAATAATGAAAGAACTTGGGAAAACTCATCTGGCCATTTAAAGTTTTGACTAGATATTTGGGAATGGAAAAAAATGTTGAGTGATTTATCAATTATGTAACTAGAATAGTCATGAAATCAGTGTATCCAGTAATTTTAATTGGCTATGGTAAAAGACAACAGTTTCCTTGCATAAATAATACAATTTATGTCACTTGTTTTTATAGTTCAAGATAATCAGTTAGCTAAATGATGAGTATTTCATTTACTGTTAAACTGAAAACTAGAGTAATTGTTTTGTATCAGTGAATATGACACTGAATGTTCAAGACTATAACCTATGGACAAACCAATCAGATTTGAGCTAGTAAATCTTGCATTCTGGTGAAAAATCCATTCATTCATATGACTAAACAGCACTGTCAGTTCGTGATGAAAACTCTAGCTCTCTGAATCCTAATCCTCATTCCTCACATTAATTTATAGTCCTCTTTTAACTTAAGTCAATGGGTGAATTTTCTCAAGGTCACCTCAGCGCTGATCAAAAGTTGTCGATAAATTATAGTCTCTTCGTATTTATACTTTAACTCAATGTTAAATAGATTGGAACATTTGACAAACTAAAGTAATTTATTAGGGTAATAACCAAATCTTTTTTTTTCAAACATTCTGTTAATTTAATAGTTGAGTTCATGGATCGATTAAAGTTAGATCACCATGGAAAATCTGGAAGCACTGAATGGCCGTTTCGTCCTAGTATGAGACTCCTCAGCAGTTCGACTCTGTTAATTGTTTGAAATAATGCCCAATTCTTTTCTGAAATTTTGTACAATTTTTTATTCCTATTTTAATGTTATCTCTTTAATTCAACATTCTGTTTTATGATATGAATTCTAATCTGGTTTACTATCCGCTCAAAAGTTCTGTTTAAGTTTTCTTTATCAAAATTCATGTAAACAATCAATATCTATAAGGAAACTATAGTAACCTATTCAAAACAGATTTACTAAGAATAATAATGATAAACACCTTAGTTTTCTTTCTTTTTTTTAACTTACTTGTGTAAGATGATTTGCTATTGCGCTTAATTGTTGTGGACTTACAAAATTTTCCATATTTATTGATGGTTGTGTAGACCAATATGGTATTGTATTATTATTATTAAGCATTGGATATGAACCAGAAATATTACTTGAATTCGGTGTACGTATATCCCAATTCAAACCTGGTATTTGACCCCATAGATTAATTTGTGTACCTGAATGATTTGTAGCTGCAAAACCTTGATCTGCATTTCCTTGAAAAGAAAAAAATATAATGAAATTCGTTATATCCTTAATTTACTAATGCTCATTATTATAAATAATCTGAAACACGATGAAGGACTATGAAAAATTGTATTGTACTTATTATAAGATTTAATTGTACTGTAAAAAAGTCCCATACAAAGACGTAATTGTAATCTATGATCACTTTTTGTTTTCAGTCATTGTCTAATTGAAGTTAGTTTCTAATCAAAACCTTCACATTAAACTATTTTCATAATAATTTATAATAATGACTCGTAATTTATCACAGTAAATGCTACTAAGTTTTGATATTTCATCAATCTATATTTACATTAAAGTTTATTATCTATCGTCTTATTGTCAAAGTTCTGAGATTTGGAAAGATAATCAGTTAATGTGGAAAAAGAGATTTATTTGTATATATAGATGTTTTAAATAATTCTGATTTTACTAGTTAAATTCATGAGTCGATTAAAGCTAGACCACTATTGAAAACCTGGAAACACTGGACGGCCGTTTCATCCTAATGTGGGACTTCTCAGCAGTGCGCATCCATGATCCCACCCGTGAAATTCGAGCCAAGGACCTTCGGTCTCGCGCCCGAACGTTTAGCTTCTAGACCATTGAATTGACATCCGACAGTGCTAATGTTTAACTTCAACCAATTCTTGAAATTGAGCCAATGTCCACTATTATCTTCAGTGAGTCACCTCCTCACAACAGACACGGTTGAACTCCACTGGTCACGGCTTCTCACTAGAATTCCAGGAAATACATCTTGAAGCCAGTCACTGGTGAGCACATGATGATGATTATCAGAAAGGGGGAGTTGTGTAGATTGTAGTAATTTTAATAGTTGAATTCATGAGTCAATTAAAGTTAGATCACCATAGAGCGGGATTGTGGATGCACACTTCTGAGGAGTCTCATAATAGGACGAAACATCCGTCCAGTGCTTCTAGATTTTCCATGATAGCTTAGCTTTAATCGATTCATGAATTCAACTTTCAAATTACTACAATCTCCACAAAACCCCTTCCTGATAAAATTCTGATTGTTTATCATATTGATTCCTATTAATACTATTATGAACTAAAATTGCGCACACTTTAGTCAAATTGTTGACAGGATATGTGAACACTAAAAGTTATAATCTGAACTTATATGTACACTGAAAAATCAAGATACCATATATTTACCATTTGTAAAGCATATGCATTAAGGATAAGAAAAAAAGATAAGATAATGATGTCAACCAGTAACTTACTACGCATAAAGTTTTCAATTACATCATCTGTGTAGTCATCATTTTGCTAGTAAAATACAACAACAAAAAATAAATTAGTTATAGGATAGAAGGTTTGCAAAGAGTGTTGAATTTCATAGTTAACATCACTGACTGACATTAGACGATTAGTAAAAACCAGGAAACAATGAGCAGCTATTTTGTCTTATTATGCAAATCCAGTAACCCGTTGGGGATAGAACCCAGGACGTCTTAACCTCGTGGAAAAGGCTTAACCGTCGGATCGCTCATTTACCTTTAAATGATTAACATGTCTAGCCCCAGTCAGAACATAACAGTTCAATGGTCTAAATGTTAAGCACACGTAACGAGATCTGCACATCTTGAGTACAATCCCTGGTGGGTTCATGAGTGTACACTGCTTAAAAGTCTCATACTAGAACAAAATAGCTGTTCATTGTTTCCTAGTTTTGACTGATTGTTTAAGTAAAGTCAATCAGTGATGTGCATTGTGAATTAGTCATAACTGAAAAATACAACTTACTTTTCGTATTATAGCTGGACTATAAACATTACCATTTACACCATCGTTATCATCATCATCATAATTATCAAGCATTTCCAAAGCATCACTTGATAAATTTTCTTCATCACTTTCCATGCCAGTAGGTTTATCTCCATTGTGAAGCCGTTTATCTTTATTACCACTATCTATAACTCTAAATTTTCGTGTGACAGTATGACTTTCCACATTTGTTACACTAAGATGAAATATAAATAAAATGAATAGAAAGAAATAGAGATAAAATATAGAATGATGTAATCTTTGATAAACTTGTTTCTTTATACAGATTTCATCTATATGATAGATGTTCTGAATTTCAGTAAGTAATCTTAAATATTTTTCTTATAGATAAAGGTAATTATATTACATTTCAATCTTGAAATCAGTATCTTTGATTTGTTGACTATGCACTAGTTTATGAGTTTATCAAATGAAATGTTACAACTCAAAGAAATCAGAGATAACTGACTACTTTGGGACGTTAATTCTTATTCCACTGGTCGAAATCATGAGTCAATTGAAGCTGGACTATCATGGAAAACCTGGAAGCACTGGACGGCCGTTTCGTCCTGGTATGGGACTCCCCAGCAGTGCGCATCCACGAGCCCGCACCCCGCGAGATCCGAATTCAGGACCTATCAGTTTCGCGCCAGGCGCCCAATCAACTCGACCACTGCGCAAGGCTGATGAGTTCCATATCAGGACGGAACGGCCGTCCAGTGCTTCCAGGTTTTCTATGGTAGTCCAGCTTCAATTGACTCATGATTTCAACCAGTAAAATTTCTAAAATCTCCACAAACCCCTTCTGTTAATTTTTATTCTCAATCAAAATTTTTTTATTCAATTTATAACTCGGTAAAAAGATATACTGACTGAATATTATGCGGACAAGCAATAACTTTAATCCCAGTAATAATAGTTAAATACCCTACTGATTATGTACTTTAAAATCTGTTTGATTAAAATTTGATTGTATCCCGTGATTAAAATCACTAATTAGATCACCTCACTCAATCTTTTAATTTAATCAATCATTTAAACTATCATAATAGCTAATAGATGTATTCAAACAAGTTGAGCAAACTCGTTGTTTATGAATGATTATAAATGCACATTTAAAGGCAATTAATTCTTTCGCAAAAACAATTGGACATTTATCTATGTCAGACGGAATGCCCAATAATAATTAAAATTTTAACTTACATGATTTTGAAAGTAGAGACCATTGTTATCATGAACAATATACGATTGATTTGGAGTGTTAGATTTATAAATACACAAGACAAAAGTTATACCTAATAGTCAGGTCCTAATTTCATTGGCTGATGACTGAACTATAAGGACACCTACATAATAATTTTGTGAATGTTTCAAGTAAAATTATTAGTGTTTGGCAATATACATGACGGGATGTTTCGGCTTTTGGAGGAAATTAAGTTGCAGATTTTGCATTGTTAATGCATCTCATCTGAACACTCCTATCTGTGTCACAAATCACTTTTTTTCTTACGGAAAAATACACGCTCGTGGTCATAATCAAGTAGTATATGCTTCTAGTTTACAAAACAGGCTGATTTCAGCTAAACAACCACTGAAAATAAGAAATCATTGGACAAGTGAGTGAAAAATATAATTGCCATCGGTAATATGTCTTATGCCCGGTGGTGGCTGAACTCCACCTATTACGGCTTCCCACTAGACCATTGGAAATGCTTCTCAAAGTTAGTCACTGGTAAACACAGTTCTTACGCTTCTAAACATTTGTGCTTTGGCAGTATGATCATCTTATATTGAGTATAATAAATAATCACATTATGATAGATTCGGTACATAATGAAGGAACAGTTTTGATATCTTCTTTGTTTTGCAAAACACGTCAATTTTTTGGATTAAGCCAAATGATTACCTGTGAACAGCTATTGCTTTAACAACTCTTTTACCAGGACGAAGGGCGAATGGAGCTTTATACACAAAAGTCACTTCACGACCATCAACTTTTCTCTTCCATGGGTTAGGATTTTTTCCATTTGTTGTGAAATATAGTCGTGCGTTTGGTGTATCTATAATAACGGTTTTTATGTAAAGAGTCAAGAAATAAACGAGAATGATCATGAGTTCATAAAATTTATCAAGTGTTTAATTAAAATTTAACACAACTTTCGCAACAGTATCTTGCAAACCAAATTTTAAAATCTATCGAATAAATGCAATTACGGCTGTAATAGAGGAGGATTTATAATTTATTATACCACAGATTTAAAGACAATAAACGGTTAATTTATCAGTGAAGTTACTTTTTAAGTAACCTGGATTTTAACGAATTATATACTAGTCATCTAAACAAGATATCAACAATTGTTAACTATGTAGTTTGACATAATGGGTTTGAATGCTCACTATTAGAAATGGCATCAGTCAATGAGAAAAATAACTAAAAAACTGACTGATATCGACCGATGAGAACTTTTTGATCAGTGTCAGCATGCAATCGTGGATGATGATTGTGAAATTTAGGTAATATGACGTCAAGTTAGTTCCCCTGGTGCACTTGAATGTATTCATTATCTTTCCCTAAAAAATGAGTTTGATGTCATTTTATATCCCTTATTGTATGATCCCATTAATTCATTTTGAAATAGGTTAATCATTATCAAGTTCGACTCTACAGTTGATATTTTACTTTCAACACTTCTCACCCTCCTAACTCTTCTTCAGTGGGCCAATACGAGTTATGGAAACTTTGATTCGTAAATGTTTGTACCAAGTTCTATGAATAGCGGACTAAAATGCGTTTAAATTACCGAACATTGTTCTGTCACTATACTTTGTTGATTATAAGATTTTTGTCGTTTAATTTCGTAAACTGTATTATGCATTTAATCAAAGCGTTTTACAACCAAGTTTTGCTGAAATCTAAACCAGAGTTTGTAAAATAACTCAAGTTCTGATCAAATTAATATAAATATAACTATCAAGCACCGTTTATTTATTTTGGAATAATCACGAAGTCCGGTTGATTCAGAGATGTAGTTTCCCCTGATATTACTGACTTTCAAACACGTAGAAGCATATCGTTATCCACAATCAAACTAACAATTTTATTACCTGATACAATTTCAATAAATGTTTGGGTATCAATGCAACCTTGTAATGTTTCTTTATCTTCTGACTTTAATGGTATAATTTTTGGTGCTGCAATACCCCCAGTTATTGGCATTTTCTGTAAGGATTAAGCAAGTTATAAGTATTAGTCAGAAATATTAAAATTAAACTTAGTAAAAGAAAATTAACGGGAACAAAAAGCAATTAGATAAAAATAATAATATAAATGACAGTGAAAACTCAACATGAAAATATGACTCAGGAGAAATCTGTAGAAAAGTACAATCAGGCAAACATATCAATAAAACCGACAGTTTAAAGAATAACAATGAATTTAATCTTCATTGTCACCAATCTTTAATCATACCATATGAGGTCCCCGTCCACCAAGTACTAGAATGTACAACCCCTCAACACCCAAAGTCCTCAACACAGTTCGGATAAACAGTCAGTGCTTTCTTGGAGTAATTGTACATCTTGTTCAATGTAAAAAGTTAGATTCACTGAAAACACGATTTGCATTTATTTCTAGATAATATGTTCGTAATAGTTACTACGGTCTTAATTTTATCCCTCTTTAGTAGTTACCGGTCATATCCAAAGTAATAGTAACAAGGAGCTGCGGATTCGCTACTTACTCAGATATTTGAAAACGATGCATTTACATCAAAAGAAAGCTTGTGTCAATACACACATGAAAATAACAATTAAAAACTCCATTTTCAAGACGTTTGTCATGGTTTATTTATCCCTTAGACAATTTTGCTCCTTCCTTAAGAGGTTACTTTGATGACAATAAATGGGAGCAACTATCCTTGACTTTTCAAAAAATCACGAGTGTGATATTTTAGACAGGCAATACGCTGAGTTTATGCCTCACAAATTACATGCCAACGTTTATCTGGTGTTTTGAATAATCCTTTATTTTTTTATAAAAAAACAAATACTTGGAAGTAAAGCTATAGAAAACTGAAACTAGACGAAGTCTGATCGACTACAACACTCCTTTAAGTAGTATAATTTATCTCTGGCAATACAAATTTAAGACGTTTCTCATCAATTTCAATGCTTCCCATGTATAAAAGTTTTACATAACCTTGTTTGGGAAATAACATTTTCACCTATACTATCAGTTGGCTTTATTCCTAGGTTATCATCGGAATATCTGTAAATAAGGTCATTTTTATAAAGCGGTGTGCTGTTATTGAGGCCAGGTATATTGTTTATTACTTTTGATTTGTGAAAAATTTTTGATCGTTTTAGATACGTTTGTTGCTATGATTTTTTCGGTCTTTGACTATAAATTTAGACGCTGGCCGCAATGGCTTTAAGAAGTACCCTGTGATGCAGAAAAACATCAGTGATAAGACATAGCAACAAGAATCTGATGTCGACTGATATAAATAATTTTTATAATCAACCAAAAGCCAAATACCTGGCGGAAGAAAGTTAAGAAGATCAAAGAAAAGAGAAAGATAACAGAGAATGACTGATGTAGAATCGAAAAAACAGTGAAGTCTGAGACGATTGACTGATACTTTGGAAATGAGGCATTTAATGTATAGCTCTCAGGTTCTGCCAAGGCGTTCTGTAATTTTGTATTCAAATACATACGTTTGTTTACTGCAAGATGAGTGTCGTCTGACCTTAGGTACAATTATAGTCAAGTATTTCGTGTAAGAAAATGACACCTGATTGGTTGTTGAGATCCCAAGTCTCAAGTTTTGTCACAATATGAAATGGCGATTAAATCTCGTTCTGTATTAGTCACTCCCTCATTGTATTAATAATTGGCTTAAGCGATTGATATACATAAAGTGTTTAGTTAATATCAATTAAAATAGGAAATCTAGTTGACTTTAACGTGATAAAGTCACATGTGTTTCATAACCCATAACCCTGATCAAGTAATCATTCACTAAAAAACTAAACCTTACAGATTTTTTTTTATCTGATAGGAGAGCGTTCATGAGTATCGACTACTTTTATTTATTTATTACCACCACTTGGGAGAAGTGACCATGCAGTCATCTTATTCAAATTCATGGTTGAGATTGCTTGTCGAACAATTGCGCCGGCCCGTCCTAACATATGGAAGGCAGATATGCAGGCAATTAACTCCGCAGCATCGGCTGAGAACTGGGAAATTGGCTCAAAGGCATCAGTACAAGAGGCATGGACTCTATTCAGGCAGTTATACAATCGGGTAACTCAACCATACATACCCTGGACTGTCGCAAAAAAAAGAATCACGGACATCCCTAGATAGGGCGGGATATTCGATGCTTATTAAGACAAAAGAAGAAATGCTGGGATGTTGCCATCCGCCTTGGCACAGCAGGTGCGCTGGAACGTTACAGATCGATAAGAAACAAGTGTATAACTAAAATTCGGGAAGCGCAAAGAAAATATGAAATGCAGCTGGCACAATCTGCACTCAAGCAGCCCAAGAGGATATTCTCGTACATAAACTACAGAACAAGGATTCATCATTGGATTCCCAACCTAATTAAAGTAGGAAGTGAATCTGAACTGATAGAGGAAGATCAGGAAAAAGCTGAGGTTATGGCTGACTATTTTGGGGCAGTCTCCACTCAGGAACCTCCTCTAGAGAAAGAACCAGACCCAATTACAGAGTCAACAAACCAGCTGCTCACCGTGGACTTCGACCAAGACGATGTGCTTAAGGCTCTTAGCACCCTAAATATGGAAAAGTCAACAGGACCAGATGAACTACACCCTAAAATCTTGAGACATATAGCCCAATATATCGCAGCCCCACTGACTGTGATATTCAAAATGTCACTTGACCAAGGTGTGTTACCTATGGACTGGAAGGACGCAATCGTCACTGCCATACATAAAACAGGTTTACGACAAGTTCCATCGAATTACAGACCCGTAAGCCTCACCAGTGTTGTAATTAAAATACTGGAAAGAATAATCAAACGGACCATAACGGCATTTATGGAAACAAATAACTTGCTGAACATGGCACAACATGATTTTAGAAAGAATCTATCCTGTACAACGAACCTCCTTATAGCTAGGGAGCTCTGGGTTAATGCGCTAGACAACGGAAACTCAGTGGATGTTGTCTACATAGACTTCAGTAAGGCTTTTGACAAGGTGCCAACTAATAGACTGCTATTGAAGTTGGCAAACCTTGGTATTGCCGGACCTCTTTTAAAATGGATTAAGGATTTCCTAGTAGATCGTAGGCAAAAAATAGGAATAAATTCCAAGTGCTCCATCTGGGGACCAGTACTTAGTGGGGTACCTCAAGGTTCAGTCCTAGGTCCTTTACTTTTTATAATGTACGTTAATGATCTTACAAGTATAGAACAGTCTCCAATGTTATTATACGCTGACGATGTAAAAATTTGGCGAGTAATAACTGGAGACAAAGACGCATTTACTCTTCAGGCGGACTTAAATAATATGATAAACTGGTCTAAAGAGTGGCTGATGCCTGTTAACTCGGAAAAGTGTGTCTACATGCACTTAGGGGATTCAAAGGTTAATACATACAGCATAAGGGATGTGTCATTGCCCGTAGTCCGGTCTCATAAGGATCTAGGGGTGACAGTGAGCAATGATCTTAAGACGACGGCCCATTGCCGGGAGGTCGCAGTTAAGGGGTTTCGAACCCTCTGGGCTTTGAAAAGGACATTCACTAAGTTTGGTACTACCATGTTCACCACATTATACACATCCTTAGTGAGAACTAAGTTAGAGAACTGTGTTCAAGCTGCAAGCCCCTGCTTAAAAGGTGACTTAGACATACTAGAAAAAGTGCAGAGGGCAGCTACGCGTGCAATTCCGGAACTCCGGGGTTTATCATATAAAGAGCGGCTTGAAAAACTGAACCCTTTTACTCTGTCCTATCGCAGACTAAGGGGAGATCTAATATTGATGTACAGAATACTGAGACATGATTTCGGACCTAACTTAGATTCAGATTTCAGATTCAGATTTGTGTAGTAAGGACAGAAGGCATACAGCCTATGTTATTCCTTTTCTAGTATGCTTCTGTGAGTGTCCAGTATTCTCTTGAAAGAGTCAATTGAAGGTGCGGACACCACTGCTTCAGGCAGCAGGTTCCAAGTATTGATGACTCGGTGTGAAAACCTGTATGCCACGGGTATTTTGTTCGTTCTTGACTTTTCTACTCGCCTGCTATGTCCTCTGAGGTGTCCCGATCTAGTGGGAAGAAAAAGAGAGAATAAGTTACTTGGAACCTGCTGCCTGAAGCAGTGGTGGCCGCACCTTTAATTGACTCTTTCAAGAGAAGACTGGACACTCACAGAAGCATACTAGAAAAGGAATAACATAGGCTGTATGCCTTCTGTCCTTACTACACAAATCTGAATCTGAATCTAATCTCCCAATTTTTGGGAAGCTACCATCGAAACATTTGGGGAAATTTTGTAGAAATGGCATAAAAACCCCAAATCTTCCTCAGAATTTTATTACACTTTGAAGAAGTGTGCTTGTATTTATTAACAAAACCCTAAAACGTTTCACAATTTCGAGAAAATTTTGCGTTTTCCTCCAAAAATTTCCTCTTTTTTCCCCTTTTTGGGTTGTCTGGGTTACTTTGGGGTTTTTCCACAAAATTTCAAAGAACAAGTAGCTGTAACTCTAAGCCTCTGGTGGGTTCATATCTCGCCTAAATGCGTCTCGTACGCTGTGAGAGTGTACGACAGCGAGTGAAAGAATCTAGGAAATAAAAGAATGCAGAAAGAAGTGAGAAAATGACTTAGTTAATACGTGAATTTCACTTACACTTAGGCATAATAAATAAAACAGTAACAAACTATGCTTCCGTGAGACTGTGACAATCTGACAAGTTTATATCGTAAAGCTACATATCCAAGCATCAAACGATTGGTTACTTACAAGGTCACCAAATCACTATACAAGCAATTGTTGAGATAAATAAAACAAAAGTAATTAGATATATGAGAACCCTGAAAATACCATAGTTATAAGCTCAAGTTCAGAGAATTTATGGTCAATGAAACAAAATTGATCAGTAAATCACCCTCAGAAATAGAATTATATCTGTTAATAAAGATTGATCACAAAACGTGGAACCAAAAGTCTTTCAGACCCATGCACGGGGAAATCTCAGATGTTTCACATGAAGTTTGTTATCAAGATCTCAGAAAGTTAGGCTACCCCAAAGTTGCTTTAATTCAATTATATTATTATTATCACATTCCGACTGCGGACATTATTAGCTTTGAGGAGGGCATATGTTTTAAGTTTAGATTAATCCTACAAGAATAATAAGGACGTTTCCCACCACTTGTGTCAAGATTCGACACTTTACGTTACAATGTTTTCAAAACACACGGCTTGGATTAAAGTCCTTTTATTTATTAAATTTAGATGGTTTTCGTGGGATTTCTTTAGGGAATTCTAGTCTTGTAGTTAACGCCGACTGTAGCTCTTCTAGAATTACTGCCGACCCCAAGCCCGAGTGAAGGAGGTGGGTTGGACATGGGGATTAACGACCCCATCCCGCGGAAAACCAACTTGCTAAAAAACGCTAACCAGAAAAAATAATTCAAACCATTTAAACTCTGCACCGGGAGTTAGAATGTCTTCATTTAAAAGAACTATGACGCCTCATGATGAAAGCCGAGTTCCTTCGCAAGTCACAAAGCCGATGCTACTTCTAACAACCAGAGTAACAATTTTTATGGGTACATGGAACGTCCGGACAATGTGGGAGACCGGGAAGACCAGTCAAATAGCAACGGAAATGAGGAGATACAATTTGGCAGTACTGTGATTCAGCGAAACTCATTGGACCCAAGCTGGACAACAAAGGCTAGATACATGAGAGATGCTGCTATACTCCGGTCACGACGATGAGAACGCTCCACACACTCAGGGAGTTGCTCTAATGCTGTTCAAAGTAGCACGAAATGCACCTGAAGGATGAGAAACTCACGGATCCAAAATCATCAATGCATCACTCAAAACAAAGCAGGAGGGGAACACAATGAATGTTATCCAATGTTATGGTCCCACCAATGATAGCAACGACGACATTAAGAAACAATTCTTTGAGAGACTGCAGTCAATCATAGAGAAGTGCCCAAGAAAGGACCTCACCATTCTGATAGGAGATCTAAACGCCAAAGTCGGAATAGACAACACCGGATATGAAGATATCATGCGACGACATGGACTGGGAGAGAGAAACGAAAATGCAGAAAGAGCTGCAAATCTATGTGCATTCAACAAATTGGTTATAGGCGGCAAAGTATTTCCACATAAACGCATACACAAAGCCATATGTATCTCACCGGACCACAACACAGAGAACCAGATAGATCATATTTACATCCATAAAAAATTCCGAAGGACAATAGGAGATGCGAGAATCGGGAGAGGAGCTGATATAGCTTCAGATCACCACCTAGTTGTGGTCAATTTAAAACTGAAGCCAAAGAAAAACTGGACAAACAGCACTACGAAGGTTCAATAGAGCTTTCCTTCGAGATACTAACAAACTCAATGAATTCAAGGTAACTCCCAACACCAGGTAGCAAGCCTTACAGGATCTACTAAAGGAAGAAGAAACTGCTATAGAGGACAACTGGAAAGGTGTCAAAGAAGCACTAACTTCAACGTATCAAGAGGTTCTGGGCCTAAAGAAGCATCAGAAGAAGAAGACAGCAATCAACAACAGCCGAACAAGAATAGAGAAAGTCCAAGCATAAGCTGATTACATTGAAGCAAACAAGCAAGTGAAGAAGAGCATTAGAGCTGACAAGAAGAAATACGTGGAAGAACTAACAACGACGGCGGATAAAGTTGCAAGAAAAGGAAATATGAAACAGCTTCATGATACAACGAAGAAACTAGCAGGGAAATATAGTAAACCAGAGAGACCGGTCAAGGACAAAGAAGGCAGGCCAATCACTCAAATTCAACAACAGAGGAACAGATGGGTAGAGTACTTCCAGGAAATCCTGAATAGACCAGCTCCAATCAATCCACCGGACATCGAAGCAGCACACACAGATCTTCCTATAGACGTCAATCGACTAACGACGGAAGAAATCAGAATGACCATCAGACAAATCAAGAGAGGGAAAGCAGCAGGACCCGACAACATACCAGCTGAAACACTAAAGTCAGACATAAAATTAACTAAAAACATGCTTCACCTTCTATTCAAAATGATTTGGGAGGAGGAACAAATGCCAATGGACTGGAAAGAAGGAAACCCTATCATGATTCCAAACAAAGGAGATCTGAGCAAATGTAAAAACTACAGAGGCGTCACACTACAGTCAGTACCAAACAAGGTCTTTAACAGAGTGTTGCTGAACCACATGAAAGACTCAATAGACGCCCAACTTCGAGATCAACAAGCTGGATTTCGTAAGGATCGGTCGTACACAGACTTAATTGCGACACCACGAATCATCGTCGAACAATCCGTTGAGTGGAACTCGTCATTATACATCAACTTCATTGATTATGAAAAGGCGTTTGACAGTGTAGATCGAAGAACATTATGGAAACTTCTTCGACACTATGGAGTTCCTGAGAAGATTGTCAACATTATTCGGAACTCATACGACAAACTACAGTGCAAAGTCGTCCATGGAAGACAGCCGACAGATGCATTCCAAGTAAGGACCGAAGTCAGACAAGACTGTTGACTCTCCCCCTTCCTCTTTCTTGTGGTGGTCGACTGGATTATGAAGACCTCGACATCTGAAGGAAAGCACAACGTACAATGGACAGCTCAGAACCAGTTAAACGATTTGGACTCAGCAGATGACCTAGTCCTCCTATCGCATACAAATGAACAAATGAAGATAAAGACAGCCAGTGTAGCAGCAGTCTCTATATCAGTAGGCCTCAGCATACACAAGGGGAAAACCAAAGTCCTCAAATACAACACGGAGAACACTAACTCAATCACACTTGATGGAGAAACTCTGGAAGATGTAGAATCCTTCACATACATGGGAAGCATCATCGATGAACAAGGAGGCTCAAATGCAGACGTAAAGGCAAGGATTGGCAAAGCAAGGACTACATTTCTACAACTGAAGAACATATGGAACTCAAAACAACTTTCAACCAATATCAAAGTGAGAATCTTCAATACGAACGTCAAGGCAGTTCTACGGTACGGAGCTGAAACTTCGAGAACTACAACAACTATCATCAAGGAGGTACAAGTATTTATAAACAATTGTCTGGGCAAGATACTCAACATCCGTTGGCCGGATACCATCAACAAACCAACATACCAGCTTCCATTTGAACAGCAAATTAGAATAGGACGACGGATATGGATAGGACATCACGAGGCAAGCCCTAACTTGGAATCCTGAAGGCAATCGGAAAAGAGGAAGGCCAAAAAACACATTACGTCGGAAAATAGAATCAGATATGAAAAGGATGAATAACAACCGGTATACCTATGATGAAACATAGGACTAACCAAATTTATCAATTTCTATACACATAACGGCCGCACACTTTACGTCTGTATGCCAAATCACTCATAAATACATGACATATAGAACAGTTTTCGGAAATTCACAAAACTACTACACAATCACCTAATTGTATAGCAGTAGTATCAATCCTCAACCTCACGATCTTTGAATCTGATCTGTCAATACGTAACACCACGAGAAGGTTTTGAATAGTCAGAGCTGAAGGTATGATCGTTCCACATGAAATATATTATTCTATTCCCAGCTCCAATGTGTTCTTTAGAAGTGCTGAACATCGTGTTGCTGACTGTCGCGGTACGATGAATCATTGTAGATAATGATGTAACTTCCACGTAAGGTCATATAGATTAGGTAGTCACATCATTGCAAATTTACATTTTGGTAATTAGGTCTATCATTTTCATTGGAAAGCATCCCCATGACACTTAATCAATCATAAAATCGAAGAGCAATCCCTAAAGCACAGATAGATATATTTGCGTTAGACACCTACCATCAGCATTAATATGACATCAAAGATTGAGTCCAGGACGTCTAAAAATCAGCAGGAAATTCCACAGAATGTAAGTAACAAAGTGCCTGATAAAAACTATATAACGTTAAAATGAAGCCGAGTGAAAAAATTTGGCGTATCAAATTTAAAGTTCAGGAAAAAATACCTCCAATTTGTTTTGATTTTGCTTACAAACACGTTTTTAGGGTATTTGAGTTTTTTCGAACTGATTTGTGATGGAAAATATTGTCATTTTGACTCTTATTATTTCTAATACATTTCAATTTAATAATTGTCCCGTAGCTATGTTTTTGAGTAAGTGTACGTGGTCAGATGCATGAGTTTTTCTGCCCATTCGTTCTGCTTACTTGCTTTAACAACAGTCTCTTTAAACGCTTTATGTAAATATCAAACTGACTACCTACACTCAAATGCCCAAACGTTTTGGTATGCTAAATATATTCTTTCTTTGACTAGATTTTGTCGGTCTCATTTTTCGGATCTTCTATTACAAATAAGTTGTTATAACGATTACTTTATATTTTCTGAATATTATATGCTGTATATAATCTTTCCGATAGCTCCATTCATGTCAAACTGGTTATGAAGTATGTAAATGAATTTTCTAGGCTTCTCCGCAAACTTCTGAGCGACATGAGTTCCAAACTCTTATGATGCAATTTTATGGAGATAATCCCACAATGTGGTAACACAAAGCCATTGTCATAGTTCATCCCCGTTGGCCAATGAATACTTAACGTTTAAGGTTGAATACCATTATTGGCCAAAGCGAAAACAAGTACTATGGAAACGAGTATTTTGTGCTATTAACTGCCCAAACATATTCTATAAAGATTCTCATAACTAATGCCGCCGAATTTTAAGATAGGGAGATTTTGAATAGATAGTTGTGTGTGATCTGACACAAAAACATCAGACATTTACTAACCACTAGTTGTACAGATATTCAAGAGACTTTGAGGTCATTGTGGTAGATCTATTACACAGCGTCTATAATAAGTGTAATGAGGGTCCCAAAGTTAAACACACAAACCTTCTATTCAGTGTAGAAACAATAAATACAGAGCTGAGGGAGTAGGACACTTCTTATCTTTAATGGTTTGATCTTAGAAAAATATAGACCAACTCCTAACTGCCTAATTTAGACTACCATAAGATCATGTGCGTTAACGTTCACTCTCGTCAGGTACATTTGCCCGGCCTACTAGATTGACGAAAGTAAGAGGCCGCCCTTGGAAAATATTTCATGTTGTGTGGCCAAGCTAACTGAGCCCAAAATAGCGTACACAGAAGTCATAGGAAAATATGGGCTCCTGAACGCCTACACTAATGTTGGAAAACTAACAAGGACTTCAGTAAGCAGCTTCATGGCTACACCGACAAACTCTCACTCTCACGTACTGAAAGTTTCACTTTCAGGTTCATTAACAAAAAAGGGTGATGGGTTGCTGTCACAAACAACCAGAACAATACGGTAACCAACGTGGGGAAAATCGTGAGGCAAGAGATATGCTGCCGACATGACCTCCATAAGTTTATCGTCGCATTGATCAGTGACAGGAACATATGGTCATTCACACTGGCTATGACTGTTGTTGAAGGGTGTGGGTAGGGTAAATACTCGTCATTGTAATAGAATAAGTAGTGATAAACTTTTTGTTGGATTGATTACATAGTTCTTAACAGTTTGAAGACGTTTTGTAGCATGTGTTATGGTAACAGTACTACCAACAGTGTTTGCCACCATGTACTTGTAAAAATCTCTTATATGAATATTTTCTTAGTAAAGTTTACAAGTTTTTAAAGGCTTTAAAAGTTAAAGAAACGAGTTGCGGAAATCGGCACTCTGGATATGGGATATGTAACACCATTCTCTCATGGCGCACTCATCAGTAGGGAGGTTCCTGGTAAATTCCAGCCTGCATAAAATGCTGATTCACCCAGTGCCTCTTTTGAATAGAAGAATAAAATCGCAATTGTAGCATCTTGAAGAGAAATATTCATCAGATACATTAAAATGAATATGTATGGTATACATATAGGTTTAAAGATTTCACAAGTATTCGAAGTTTGACATCATCTTAAACAGTAACACCCTTTATAAACGAAGCATGCTAACCCAATCAAATCAGAAGTCAGAAGTGAAGAGTTTCAAAGATATAGTTGGTAGGCTGCCAACATATCTAGAAATGAATAGCCTTAGCTGGCTAGCTGTTGTAGATGTGTAGCACAGCGTACCTACTTGTGATCTGGTGTGAATGCATGACTGAACGCTTTCAACTGGGTAAGTCCAGTAAAACTAATGCCGTCAGTAAACGTCAAGGACTTACAGAGCTATTGGTTTTGAGGATTTATTTACCGCTACGGATTGAAGTTTGGTATAATTTTCTAACATGTCTTTTGGAATATCAAACCATCAGTAGCCTACTAATAAAGATGTGTAGTGGTATTCATAAGGATAGAAAAATGTTGCCCAGTTTTTTTACCAATCTTAATCAATAAAAAATAAGGGAGAGAGTGAAAATGGCTTGAAAGAAAGGTACATTTGATTGTTCGCTGAAGAGGGAAACATAGCACTTATAGATTGTCCATATAAGATGCTAAAGTCTCTTCCTGTCAAGTTATACCGTGATATGATAATGTTTGACACAGATTCTTCGATTGGCAGTGGCCATTAAAAAAAACAAGTCTGTACATTTGCCACAAGTTCAGCGTAAGTGCGGAGTGCTTCCGAAACACCCGATTTCAGAGAGTTAGTGTTACACCTGTCTATTCAAAAAATATATTAACTTTAAATGGCTCTTTAAATACACAACTGTCGGTTTGTTAGACTAGGTTCACTTAATTTATGTGAAGATATCAAAGCTTAACACAGCATCAAGATGCAAGCATGAATGTAACTAGCTTTAGCAACCCTGTAATTACATTTGTTATTGAAAGGATTGACTAAACTCAAATCCTCAAGGTCGCTCCCAAAGATGCCTAATATAAGCAGCGGGTGATTAGATCCTCCTGCTAAAATGTGATATATGATGTGTTCTGCTAAAGTTGCCGACGTTATTCCAGCTGTTGTCGCCTGGAGTCTTATAGTAGGTATCACGGCGGTCTACCTCACCTTCATGTACGACAGTTTTTTACCTATAATACTCACTATTAAATAGTTGCTTCCAGTTCGCTGCAACTTACTCTTGGTCTATATTTGTTCTTCATGCTATCCTAGTTTTCTATGTGTTATGCTGTCTAACACGAACAACTTTCATGGACCCCGGTTATTTCCCTTTCGGTAGGTGATCTCTCTTTACATTAACCTCTCACCAGCAACGGAAGGAGAGGCTGAATATGAAGAAACTAAGTCTGCTCCTGTTCATCGTGAATATAATATTAATGGAGTATTAGCCAAAGTCAAGTGGTGCAGTACATGTTTGTTCTACCGTCCCCCAAGGTGTTCACATTGCTCTATTTGTAACCGGTGTGTGGATGTAAGCATCAAGTTAATTATATTACTCCTTAGTAGACTTTTGATCATCATTGTCCTTGGGTCAATAACTGTATTGGGAAAAGAAACGCGCGTTACTTCTTCATGTTCTTGGTTTCGCTTACACTTCATATGATTGCCGTGTTTAGTATAACCCTAGCATCATTATTACTTAACGATCAGCCGATCGTCTTCTATACAAATATTATACGGTATCCTTTGTGTCATATGGGTTTGTTTTCTCCATACTTTTCCTACCCTAGTTCTTTTTGTCCTCGTTTTCGCTTTCATAGGAACACTAGAAATACATGGTTGTCATTTAGCATCGATAAATTCTTTTACTTCAGAACTTTGGATATTTATCATTTTAACTATTTATCGCATCCACTAATGTTGAGGAAGTCAACTAACATCAATTTAGCTCATCTTGTTTTTCTACTTATTTGGCTATGAGGCAACTTAGATGTAGTTATTTCAAAGGTCTGGAGAAATCAAATTTGTTCTGTTTGTAACTGCCACCAAAATAATTTTCATCAATGTTGAGGGTAGATAGTCATGCTTTCAGAAACTCCTATTCAAGCCACCTTGGCACCATACCGTTAATCTAACGGCGAAATTCCGAGTGTACAACTCGGATACTGGCTGTTCTGACCCGTGTTTTTAAAGACGGACTCTTTTACATTAAGTGATTTTTTCGACCATCGTTGTCGCTTAGGAATTGGTTGTATATACAACCGAAATACTTCATGAAATAACGCAGCATCTTGAGTTCATGGTCGTCTTAGTCTGATAGCAATTTCCATGTGGGATCATAGCGATTATCCAACTCAGTGGCTTTTGAAGTTATCACATGAGATTTATAACTAGTAGTGACTCTGCAGCATATACAGTTGGTTGTACATTAAGGGGTGTAGAGTGGTGACTTATTAAAAAATACCTGTATTTCAATTATTGGGATCCGTGCTCCGAGCCATTTATTACGGTTTGAGGAGCTATGTAGTATCTGCAGACTTGACGAAGTGCGACTCAAATGTAAGCACAAACAAGTAATTGGCTACCTCTGGGAGGGGTACGGTCTTTACTTATTTTCGTTCATAATGTTACATTTGGTGTTATCATTCTTGCCAGTTTTTTACGACTCGAATTCTTAGGAAATTATCCTACTTGATTCAGGTTTTGCTGTGCCAAAAATGTTCGTGTTCAAGTTAGCCTGTCTTTACCTACGTTATGAACAATTGAGTGTAACTTTATCTGTCTTTTGGCGTTGGAAATCCTACTTAACTTCGAGCGTCAAAAAACCTCAATTTTTTCCGATTGGATGTAGAAGCCAAACATTCAAAAGTTAAGACCGACCGTTTCTGTTCAACATCCTTTATATCCATAATGACAGCACCAGCAGAATTTCTAGAAAAAATACGAGAAAGTTACACCGACAATGTTTGATTTACTCAACCCAAAATTAGCCTAAAATTTTGTCAAATCTGACCTGTTTCCTATCACTACTTTTGATTCAGTTTTGTTTATTTTGCCACCTTAACTCACCGTTATAGAATTATTACACTTTCTCTAGTTGGTGTTAGTTTTATTCCGGTTTTTGGACTAACTTCATTCCATGTATATCTAATATCCAGAGGAATGACAACCAATGAACAAGTTAGTTATTTTTCAATATTTCCTTTAATCGTTCTACATGTTTTTTTGTTCTTTTAAAATAAAAACTAGCAATTTTGTTCTGATAGTAGTTGATCAGGCTAAAAAGAGTGAAATGTACTTCGTTACGACTTGAAACTTTAACAGACGATTCACTGAAGAAAAGGAGGTAGTAATTAGTTATTTTGTTAATCTAGTGAAATATTCTAGTGATTCCCTCTTAATCGTTTTTTAAGAGAGGTACACGTTATCATGATACTACTATGCTATTTTCTTTTTTACTGAAACTGGTATAATGTTTCTCCATTAAACTATCAAGTGATTACTGCTCTCCCTTATTGAATAATCGTACATGTTCCCAAAATAGTCAAGTCACTGGAGTTTACAACTTTTTGCTATTTGGTTGCACATTCAATCCACTGTAAACATAACTTTCAGTTGGTTTATATGGTTGACCGATTTATCCACGTGCTAATTTCACTAATAAGTATATACAATTTTAATGCGCCACTTAATTTAATTATGTAGTTATTAATAAACAGTATACTTAACACTACTCATACTACGTGGCACCACTTATACCCTGCATTCCTCTATAATTCATCTTTGCTGGTTTAATCGGTTCGTCTTGGGATAAAAGTGAACTGAGGATACAATATTTTAAGAATAAGGTCAGCACTTCACCACCACATTCCTACCCAAGAACAAAAATGACCCAAAATTCATCAAGTAGTGTACCTACAAAAGCATGACTCGACTATGATGTATTCTGAGTTTTTCCTGTGATGCCACATATTTCTTACCATTTTATACCATTCTATCAATAATCACTTAGTTCATGTAGGATCAGTTGTTGACGCTACTGATCAAGACATTTGAAACTCCTAATAACTTCGTTTTTGACAATTTTTCACCAAATTCATGAAGTTTTACGGGTCAAAATGACAAGTTATCTTCTGCTCCTGTCCTAAAGATGAACTTATTTCATCCAGTTCATTTGTTGTGCTCTAAGATTAATAGATAATTATCATGAACGCTGGTTTAGATTGCGATTATAAAAGTTACATATTTGAAGAAATATTTTGCCATTTCCAACTAGTGAGGGTTTGTCGATCCATGTTCTTTCAGACATTAGTTTTTGCCTAACGACATTTATCTTAATCTTCAAACACTAAAACTGATGTTGATGTTTCATAATTGTCTTTATTCTTATTCAGTGATGTCATTCTGCATTATGATATATATGCTGTTGTGACTAAAGCCTTTCTAAACTGATATGAAATTTTAAAGAACCTAGGTTTAAAAGGAGAAAAGACAACTTCTGAAGCATGTGGATTAGACACAAAATACACATTCTTGTGTAGTTGTACCCAACTATTTTCAGTAGTAATTAGTTTCCCCATTCCGTAAATTTCACTATATCCTTCACAGTATGACTATTGATTGATTGTTATTGAAGTGAATTATTTCCCTCCATAAATGTTTGTTTATTTTACGAACTTATTGTGTCCCATATAATTAAAGCTGCGAACTAGTTGACAATATATTAACTTTAGATAACTTAGCTTAAATCAGTCAGTAATCCAGATACATTCATTATTTTCTTTTTCCCTGAATTTTGAGCTTCAATATTCTTTTCCCTTTATGCCTAATATTTTGTTCTCTTTTTCTACGGATTTACAGCACTTATTCAGTAGTCATCTGCTTAATTCACAATGTTTCTACCATTGTTATTCCTCATGATGACTAAGTGTGACTTTGTAATAAATATAAACCCACCCAAACGGATCTCATATAAGATATTAATTAAGTCTCAGTAGTAATTCGACTCTCTATGTAACTATAAAACAACTTTAAGTAATATAATCTAAAATGAATATTTACTGAAAATTGTCAGGTTCTTATGTAATTTTTACTTCCATGAATAACTAATAATTTCCACTAATTTTACTAAATCAACTGAGCCGTCCCTTCCATGTTTTCCACTTTGAAATGGTCTTCAGGTCTGCTTATTGTGATGACTTAACGAGGTTATATTGGCAGGAACGTTTGTCCTCCCAAATCCTACTATCCCAAACAATTTGGTTAGAGAAAAGTAAGACTAACAGCTGTAACTCTATTCGGTGAAATCGTACTACTAACTGCACAGGAGTGTGACGGCAGTAAGATTTTTCTTTCAGATAGCCAACATTCACAGTAATGCTGCATTCTCGGAATATATGGAAGGGGTTAGTAATAGTCGGCTCTAAGAATGCCACATGTCACTTTACCCCATGGATTTGCATCGCTATTGGAATGATCTTAAAAGTACGGAGCTAACAAATCAAAATATTCCCACGCAAAGGCCATCTATGATCGACCTCAAGGAGTTGTCTCTTAAGTTCTGTGGTCGCAGTCCTAGCTTGCCAAGACCACTACTAATCCCCCAAATGCCTTGGTACGGCTGAGGGTGGGGAGAGTTAGATCTCCCCTTCGAAATACTCTCACATGACCACGTGCATACAACCACTGCCAGGGAAGTCCTGCTTACTGCCTTCTTGAGGCGGGGTGTTTTTTACGAAATTGAGAGGACGAAAAGCGAATATCCGGCGCATTAAACCGGTTGGTGGATACGGAGGCTCCACCCAGGGGAGTTGGAAAACCCTGATTCCAAACCAATGGTGCACATGGGCTCCAACATCCTGAGGAAACATATGGCGTATGAATATATCGTTGGTCACCGGTTACCATGGGACTGCATCTCCTGAAGTTGCTCCACCACATTATGGATTAGACCTGCAGGTCAAAGGCTCAGGGTGTGGCCCCCTGAGAAAACCACTTGCTTCGTTTTGGGCACCCTCACACAAATCAAGTGGCTTGTGTGGTGCATGTGTATTTGGTGCCACTTTGTACCAATATTTGTTTGTTCAAATAAATAAATAATATCTCTGAAGAAGAAATGTCGAATTACATCCTGCATGCCCAATCCTTCCTATTACCTCTTATAGTTCTCTGGAATTTTTCTGTGCTAATACGGGAACTTGAATGATGCACATATGTCATAAGTTCTACATTGTGTATGACCAACTGAATTGACCCGTCATAATTGTTTGTACCGAACTATATGAAACTTTTGGTAGATTAGACATTATTTTACATTATTAATCAAGGTTTAATGTTAGATTGATAACTTATACCTTGAAAACGAATCATATCTTTGTCATACTTGAACATTTTGGATAAGTGGACTGTATGTTTTGTGACGATTGATTCATGATTGATTTGTCAATAATAATACATCAGCAGACATGATACTTGTCGTATATCACAATTTTAGGCAGGATTAATAGAGTTACTTTCCAATACCAACTGAGATTAACGATCGAGATTATTATTATTATTATTATTATTATTATTATTATTATTATCGTCACTATTACTTGTAAATATGTCAAAACATTCAGATGTGTAACTACTTTGTTCACAAAAGATATATCTCGTTGTCTACATTATTACTATTATATTTTCCCTCCAATCAGGTTACAGATAAATTTCGTGGACTGTTAAATCCATTTACATTGGGTTGTTTGTTAAACTGGCGAAGGTTTTGTTGTGAACCTCAATTTCCTCGGTAAGTATAATTAAGTATTTAAATCCTCCTATCAATAAATGAATAAAAGACAATCGATTGATCACCGAGTAGTGATCAGTATTATGTTTGACTTATCCTTTTAGTGGTGACCAAAGGTCAGTTGAAGCCTGAATAGCTCAGTTGTAACATATCAGACTGTTGAGCCTGATGCTACAAGACCGAATCCACTAAAAAGTACCAGTTCTCTTAAGGACTACAGGTGCATTTTGCTATCGAGTGCTGAATTGTACAAAACGTAGGTCCAAGATTTCCTATCGACTACCTCCAAAACCTAACATCTGAAGTAAAATATTTATCAAAAAATTTCTTATACATTTATAATTTCATGGTATCACAAATAATTAAATATAGCTTTTATTAATTGCTTTTCGCTCTAAGTGTTTAAATAGAAATCTTTTCTATTAATATTACGAACAAGCCCAAGTTAGACAAACACCGAAAACCAGAAAGCACTATGCAACTGTTTTACCCTAGTATGGGACTTCATAGTGGCTTCTCTATCCGAACTAGGTATAGGCTGTGAATTTTCACTCTTTTTAGTGGCTAGAATGTGTTACGTTTACTCACCTACCCCCTACCTTGATGCCCAGTGCTGAATAGATTCTGGAGCGGGTTGGAAAAGGGCTAGATACAATCAAATCAAGATTTGACACTATTTCATGAAGACATTGGTCTAAACTGTGTGGGGACATTCAGACGGGATCTTATCCCCCTGTGTAATGATAGTCAATGTGTGAAGTACTTGAATGATATGGCTTAAAATCATTTTCAGTAACACGGATACACTCATTCTTTATCTTTCCCCAAATATTGAATCTCAAGATTATTCCGTGCTCTTCCTTGTATCCCGACCGTTGTTGCTACCTTGACGTGGTGGTCGGGCTTGCCTATCGTGATGAAGCAACCGAGCTATACTGGCTGGAACAACCGTTCCTCAAGGTCCTACCATGTCAGACAGGTCGGTTGAAGAGCGGTAAGACTAAAAGCAACAAACCTAAGGTCCGAAGGCGAAGTCGTACTGCTGACTGTACAGAGGTGTGACAGCAGTAAGGTGTTTCCTTCAGACAACCAGCATGACAGCGATGCTGCCTTCCCACAAGGAGGGGTGGGGTTAGAAAAGGTCGACCCTAAAAATGCGCACCTCACCTTGCCTCACGGATTTCCGTCTCCGGCGGTAAGGCCCTTTGAAGAACGGAGCTAACATGTCAAAAACCTTCCACGGAAAGGCCGTGCGCGACCGGTCTCAAGCAGTTGTCCCTTGGGCACTGCGGTCACGCTCTCAGGTCGCCGAGACCGCCTCTAATCCAATTTCCTTTTCAGGTACCTCCAGAAGAACCCTTCCACGGTGTGGGCAACCGGGAAGTGATAACCGCCCTCATACCTCTAACAGCACCCAAGACCACTGTATTCATAATCAACCTTCCTCTTCAATTCCTATTATTCCTCCTACATCGACTTTCAACCCTAAACTTCCTCCTTCGGCTTCTTCCTCAAGTGTCACCATAGCCAACGATTCTAGTGCTCAAAACTCTGTCCCAGGTCTACTGAAACCTCGCTCTAAACTACACATTGGAGCTTTCAACGTACGCACTTTATGTCAAATCGGTCAGCAGGCTTCCTTGGCTAAAACCCTAGAGTCTCTTTCCATCGATGTATGCTGTGTCTCCGAAACACGCATTCAGGATTCCAGTGTGGTCATTCACTTGACCTCACCTCGGCAAAACGGAGAGCCAACGAGATACACCCTACGTGTATCTGGTGACCCGATGGCCAGTTCTCGTGGACTGGCAGGTGTAGGCATAGCACTAAGCATGAGGGCGGAACAAGCACTGCTAGAGTGGATCCCCATCAACAGTCGTCTATGTGCTGTTCGGCTAAACGGCTCCGTAAGAACTCGGAAGGATAGGGACACACGTCGTTGCCTTTTTGTCGTTTCTGCTTACGCTCCCACTGACTGCAGCTCCGATGAAGTGAAGGATGAATTTTACAGGAAGCTTTCTGAACTTCTTCAGAAAGCTAAACGCTCAGACATAGTACTCGTAGGGGGTGACTTTAATGCGCAGATAGGTAGCTTAAACCAAACAGAAAGGCATTTAGGTGGATATTTTAGCATTCCGGCACAGCGAACAGATAATGGTGATCGTCTGCTGCAACTGTGCTCAGACAATCGCTTATTTTTAGCAAACACAAATTTTAAGCATAAGGAGAGACATCGTCTAACATGGCGACCCCCTACACCAAACCAACGATGGACTCAAATAGACCATATTGCCATCAGTCATCGTTGGAGAGGGTCGGTAGAAGATTGTCGCTCATTCTGGAGTACCTGCTTGGACTCCGATCATGCCCTAATACGGGCACGCATCTGCTTGCGCCTCACCGGACGCAAAAAAGCCACATTAAAAAGACCAATTAGAACTGAATTGAGCAACGAGAAAACCAAAAATAGGTTCCAAGAACAACTGAGTTCACACTTAAGTAGTTCTGAACACGAGGCTGACCCAGATGTTGCTTGGAAAGACATACAAGCAGCTGTGGAAGCAGCAGTGACATCTATTAGCAACTTAAACCACAGAGTTTCAAAGAACCAGTGGATTTCTTCAAAGTCTATCACACTGATGGATTCTCGCAAATTTGTCCCATCAGGTTCCGAACATGATGAAGAGCGACAACAAATCAGATCTAGGTTAAGAAAAAGTTTAAGAAACGACCAAGAGCAGTGGTGGGCAACGAAAGCAAAAGAGATGGAAAAGGCGGCGACTATAGGGAACACAAGACAACTTTACAGACTAATAAAAGAAACTGGAATTAATAAGTCAAGTGTAAGTGAGATTATATCGGAAAAAGACGATACTCTCATCTATTCCCAGTCCAGACGTTTAGAACGATGGGCGGAACACTTTAGGGAACAGTTCAGCTGGCCTTCAGCGACTCTACAACTACCCTCCATTCCCAGACAGCGTGAATGGAACATTGAAGTAGGTCCCCCAACTCTTGCTGAAGTTCAAAAGGCTATAGATAATCTGAAACGAGGAAGGGCAGCTGGACCAGATGGACTGGTTCCAGAAGTCTTTAAAGATGGTGGTCCAATTTTAGCGATTAGGTTGACTAATATTTTAGCTAAGATCTGGGAGTTAGACGTTATTCCATCTGACTGGTCACAATCACTTATCGTCCCAATATATAAGAAAGGGTCAAAATCATCCTGTGACAACCACAGAGGGATTAGTTTAACTAATATAATATCTAAAATACTAGCCTCGATAATTATCAGACGCCTAACTAAGACTCGTGAACTGCAAACACGAGAAAACCAAGCTGGTTTCAGACCTGGTCGTGGCTGCATCGACCACATATTCACCATTCGTCAGGTTCTAGAACACAGGCACACTTATCGGCGTCCGACGATGGTGGTCTTTCTTGACTTAAAAGCAGCATTTGACTCGGTAGACCGCGAGGTTCTGTGGCAGTGTCTGTCATTGAAAGGCGTACCTCAGAAGTACATAAACCTTGTGAAGGCTCTTTACTCGAACACTACTAGTCGAGTGAGAGCTTATGGCGAACTGTCATCTACTTTTGCAACCTCAAGTGGTGTCCGTCAAGGATGTCCACTTTCCCCATTTTTGTTTAACTTCATCATAGACCTACTGATGGAAATAACTTTCTCGTTGACTGAGTTCTCGGGTATTGATCTCTTTCCAGCAGGTCCACTTATCGACTTAGAATACGCAGATGACATAGTCCTGTTTGGTGAAGACGCTGACAAAATGCAAAGTCTTCTGGTAGCACTGAGCAACAATGCCAGAATGTTTGGAATGCGCTTCTCTCCCTCGAAATGCAAGTTGTTGCTTCAGGACTGGTCTGCGTTAACACCTGAACTAAGGATAGGGAGTGAAGTAGTCGAACGCGTTGACAACTTCACTTATCTTGGAAGTCTGATCAGCCCTAATGGGTTGGTATCGGACGAAATCTCAGCACGGATTCGAAAAGCTCGTTTGGCTTTTGCCAACTTACGTCACCTGTGGCGAAGGCGAGATATCCGTCTATCAATAAAAGGACGAGTATACTGCGCGGCAGTCCGTTCTGTTTTACTTTACGGTAGCGAAACATGGCCTTTAAGAGTAGAAGACACTCGCAAGCTGCTAGTATTTGACCACAGATGCCTTAGAAATATTGCTGGCGTCTGCTGGGATAATCGGGTAAGTAATAGTGAGGTTAGACGCAGGGTATTAGGAAAGGATGGTAAATCAGTTGATGAGGTTATGAATCTTCATCGACTGAGATGGTTGGGCCACGTGTTACGTATGCCTGAACACCGATTACCACGACGTGCAATGCTATCCGGTGTTGGGGATGGTTGGAAGAAAGTTAGGGGCGGCCAAACCAAAACGTGGCATCAGTGCTTGAAGTCACTAACTTCTAGTCTGAGCCATGTTGGTAGATGCAGACTACTTGGTTGGGGTCCGCGTGACTTTCGTAACCAATGGTTGGAGACTCTTGGTGACATGGCTCAGAATCGATCACAATGGCGTCGGTGTATACACTCGGTTTCTTCCCTTAAACTAAGAGATTAAAAGCGCTTCATATCTTTCTTTCTACTAACCAATTCTTTCTTCTTGTACTATATCTCTATATGCAATCTTTCTCTTATATATTACCACCTTTTACCTAACCACTGTTATGAATCCGGTGTTCATCTTGTTGTGCTGATGCGGTATGGCAACCTGGACCGATGCACATAAGTGCATGGTTCTACGTTGTAGCTGACTGACTGACTGACTCTTCCTTGTATTCTTTTTTTGTCATATTCTCAATGTTTAGTTTCTCTTACGATCAATAATGATGTTATTAATCCAACTCTTTCGTTGTACATCTTGTTGATATCCACCCACTGTTAATATAGTGTTGCAGCTTGAGCCGATAAAAATTCACACCATGTTTCACAACAACACAAGGCCCACAAATTATATATATATATATATAATCCTTCCGATCCAGACCAGGATATATTGTCTGAGAACTTGAGTATCTGAATAATCGATTTTCTTCAAATGCCGGGCCTCGTTCAAAATACCTCACCTACTGTTTTACCTTGAAATGGCATACGAGTAAACACATAAAACCTCTCAACCTGTAATTGACTACCCCGAAGAGCTTTTATGTCTAGTTAATGCTCAAAATCATGATCCAGTAGTTTAAGGTTTCTCTGTTAAATCCACTTGTGTGAGAGGTTACATTGCATTGCATATAAGATTAATAAGTTAGAAACACATTTAGGGAAAACATATTGTACATAAACGTATTTTGATTTACTTGTTAGTTTGCATTTTAACCTGATAACATTTCCTGTTTTTTTTCTCATTTTTCTTATAACATTGCATGTCAACAGTCGTTATTTGGAAGTAGGTCCAACAAAATCCCGTCGTATTAAATGTTTTAAATTGAGAAAAAGTAGATTTAGCAAATTCAATCATTTCATGATTAGTAGTGGTGGCGCTGATCCCGGGTGTACTGATGATGCCGTTATCAATACATACACAGAATCAAATCATAAACTACTCATGGATAATATTAATCATAATTATAGTACTGAGAACGACACTATGCCTGACAATACTGATACTAAAATGCCTAATATCAACAGTAATACATTTTATGACAAAAAATCACTTGGTGGTGGGAAATATTTATACACTTTAAAAGTTCCACAAAACCATTCACATCATCATCCACGTCAACAATTAACTAATCAAAACCAGGGTAGTACTCGATCAACAAATCAATTGATACCACGTGGACCATTAGTTTGTGATAATGAAGAACCATTATCTTCGATTATTAATAATTTAACATCAAATCGTAATAATGTAATGACAACGGCGATAACAACAGCAACAACACCGACTGGAAACCATAAATTGGAAGGTAATAATGATACTTGCTCAATTAATGAACAAAATCTACCATGTACCAACGTTAGGGTATGTTAAAGTGAATTTCTTTTTGTTTGTTCGTTCTTTCGTTTTTTTACAAGAAGGTTTAGAACCTCAAAAGCATTCACGAGTCAGATATATATATATATATATATATATATATATATATATATATATATATATATATAGGTTCTCAATTTGTGACGAAATAACTATTTATTTTCCCTGATTTTTGAATTATTCTGTTTGATAGCATTCAAACATTCATCAAATAAATCGTGTAAAATAGTTCCTGTCCAGTAAATAATTGAATAATTTGAGTTAATATTTTTGTTGAATAACACGTACTTCATTCATAAAAAGTACTTTAAAGATAATCTTAACAACTAGGAAATTGTTTTAGTATATTTAACATTTATTTAATTCGTAGTGGAATCTAGAACTTGCACTTCATCTTATTTGGAACTCATCTGTTACATATGTATCTCCATCCTAGTTTTAATTCTCATATTGAAACAGGAATCTAGTGATTTTCACTTCAAATACCAACATTTTATCAACTGAGCTACTGAGTTCAAATTATCATTAGATTGTTCAACAGGTCAGAAAATATTAAAGATTTATAATTTACTATTGTTTATGTTCAAGACTATAAGTGGACCAGTCTCTGTAGCTCAATGGATAACGTATTGGTGTTTGAAGCAAAAATCACTAGATTCAAGTTTCAATGTGAGCATTAACACTGAGATGCAGGTACATCCAGCTGACAAAGTCCAAAATAGGTCGAAAGGCGCCTTGTGGATTCTAGCACTAAAACTTTTAACCGAAAGTGGGTATATGAGAGTTATCTGCTTGTGATTAAAATATGACAACGGAGACTGATCTATTTCACTACTGAATATCAGCAGCGGTGAATTACAAACCCTTATAAATAATACTAGGGACAATTGTTTGCATGAGGTAGTAGCTTAATGATTAAATCGCCCATTTTTTAACCATTGGGCCCTAGGTTTCGAGCTCAATTTTATTTACTTCAGTTTGGGGGTGGTGGTAGTATCACTAGCTTTCACACAAAAATTTGTTTGTCAAAGACAAGTAAAAATAAAAACTGTTCATCGCCTCACTTAGTTTACCAGTTCTAACTCCATTCATTCAATAACGATCACTTGTTAAATAAAAACTTTAAAGTTATCACCCTAGCATACTATGTTGTATAATTTCTTTAGTTTGAATTCATTAGAACTAGTACGGTCAAAGAGATATTACCAACACAAGAGGGAATCTAGCACAGTAAATAAATAGGTTGGATGTCAGTCCCGGAAGTCATTGAGTTTGTAGGGAAATCCAAACTACTTAGTTTAAATCCGTGAGATAATTGGAGTCAATGCTTGGGAGGTTTTAAATGACGTGATTTAATATCAATTTCACTAGCAAAGATACACTCATTCATTATCTTACCTTAAATCTTAATTCCCAATATTATTTCGTCACTTCTTATTCCTATATTTCATTAAAAGTGCGGTTGCTCAGTGGCTAGGGTATTCAGTTCGAGATTCAACCTTTGCTCCCACTTACTCCTGTTTTGGGCAACTGGATGATATCATAAGCCCTCACACGTAGAATATGACTCATACCCTCGAGTACTCGGTGAATGAATTGATTAAAAGATTTCATCCCTTCCTATGGAATCGTACTCTCTATGTTCAATTTTTCTTACCACCACTGAAACTATTTATTATTTCAACTTCTTTGCTATGCATCTTGTTGATTTCAACTCGCTTTAATAATTTACTATGTCAACTTTAACTAATACACATTACTGTCATATCCTAAAGTGATTACGATTGACTAACTGATATGAACGAATATTTATGTCTTGGATTTATTAAGTTTTAGTTGTAACTGTTTATTTTAACCTTCATACTTTCAATCAATAAGTTATGACTTCAAACTTGGTTATCCCTGTGAATGCTTACATAACTAAGTAGACTATCCTTAGCTGTCACATCATAAGTATAACTCATAGATTGATGAATATACTTTGGTTTTAAGTATTAATTCTATTCTGTGGAGTTAAATTAGTATAATTTTTTTTTTAATTATTCAATTTATACGACGTTCCTCGTTTAATATTTCTAATTCTATGTTTTATAATGTTGCACAGTTAAAAGCGATTAACTGAACTTTGAAAACTCAGATTTTGACTTGATAAAGTACTCAGTAATACAAATGATATTTCAAGCTGTAAATGAATTTATTTCATGTAAGAAGAATTTAAGTTAACTTTGTAATCTGCGCTCTTCAAATAATCCAACTACATTCGATCTCATAAAGTTCAAATTAACATTATCCATTCTATTTTCAAATCATATCTTCTATGTCTACATTTTTTTCACTAACATAGACGACAATACCGTTACTTCCGAGGTTTCTTGCTATCCATCCTGTACTGATTTGTTATGGTGCAACTTAAGCTTACACAGATCTGTTATACCTGAAAATTAATTAAATTGTTCAGACTACTAGTACCAGGTACTTGATCATTTGATACACTTGACGCAATTATTTGATCTTTCCTTGATCGAGAACTAAGTATGGAAAAAAATATTAGTTTATCGATACAAGTACACAGCAATCAGCGAGTGAAACCAAAAGTGGGTTGAATTCTACATTGTGAAATAGTCCCTTATATTTAATTTGACTAAACATGTCTGTCTCTAGTCATCACAAGCCGATTCGATTCGATAATATCTAGGTTTTCGCCTACTATAATTTAGATTTAAGACTGCAAATCTTGAATTTCGGTTCTAAGTTTATTCCTCCGTATGGCTAAATAATAGTTTTGCACTACATCTGATAACAGCTCGGTATGAAAAACCTAGCTATAATTCGTAACCTTATGTTCTAACTAAATTCTAATCCTAATTCCTCACACCAATTTCCAACCCTATTTCGATCCTACTAAGTAGTTTAGGTAACTCTCGAAAGCCTTCCATAAATTATGGTCTCACCTAGTATTTCACTTGTTTATAAAATACCAATCTGGAATTAAGCCTGCAGTTAATCATACAAGCTTATACCATACAAAAATACATGTCAAAAGAGTGATAAATTATTTCTATCACCATTAATCTTTTTCCTGATTTTAGCCATCCGCTGATTCACTCGGTACTTTAGACAGTGCATATCAACCACATCAAAATTCATGTAATAACAGCGGCAAAGTATTGGTAGACACTGCCAGTATTAGTCTTTCAGGTTGGAGTGAAGATGCAGTTTCGCTGAAAACATTAGATCGTCTTATCGGTATTACACGTCATCATCATCCAACGATTGGAGGAAATGACAGTGCAATTGCCACAAGCATTGGTGGGGGTGGGGGTGGTGGAGGTAGTAGTGGTCCAACTTATTTAACTGTTGAACGTATTCAAGAAAATGGGGAATCACTGATAGATTCTTCAACTTCCGTTCTAGATCGAAATATTTCAACTGATCAAGATTCAACACACTTTTTTAATTTTAACGGTTCACATATAAATGGTTATACGGGTATATTACCTACTTCTACAGCTGATTCAATCAGTCAACATTTTACACATACACTACCTCTTTATCAACAAAATATTGTACGTTCACTTGGTGAGGTAAGTTAACAAAGATGTTAATTAAAAATAATATATTTGTAATATCCCAATGAGTATATTACAAATATATTATTTTTATTTATAACAATGAACCCAATGCTCAATTTATTCGAAATTATCAAATCAAACCTTGGTAATGACACCTATAAAAAGATGTTAATTGTTTTACATTACTCTAAAAGGTTTGTGTAGACTGTCAAATTCCTTATTTTACATCATAGGCTGATCTTAGTGAGACAATCATTAATACCAGAAAGCATTGCATAGTTGTTTTATTTTAATCATAAATTCGAACTGCTAAGGAGTCTTATACTATGAAAAAACAGCTGGTCTTCAATAGTTGCTTAACTAAGATCAGTTCATTAATTTGTTTTATAGCATGGGAAGTTTAATATCAAATATCACGGCGATCGAAAACTTCATAGGTTATTGGGTCCATCTAACATTCTCTTCTAAATGGTTATATTGACGTTCTTTTAAAAAAAAATCAATCTCAACATGTAAAATGAGTGAATTCCATTAAAATTAGTAACATTGAAAACTTGAAAAAAGTCAATTGAAACATAAGTGATTAGACGACACTGATTTTGTAGACCATTCGAATACTAATAAATTGAAGACTTGATTCTCAGGTTTAATTTTTGCCTCTAGATATCAGAGTTACATTTTGGATTAATGTAATACAACTAAACTGTTCACTATCAAAGTAGATAAAACGGAGTTCAAGTTCTCAATCATTTTACTATAGATCAAAAATAACATTTTCAACATCAAACTAAGTGATATAGCGACTGGAAAAAATGTAAAAGCGCTTATATCAGTTGATTAGAAAGATATTCTTAATTGTTGAGATCAAGAACCCAAATTTTATGAATATTATTATACATATATGTGCTTACATGAGGTTGGTATAAGTAAAAAAGAGCACTTTCTCCCCTTCACAATTGTTTAAACTCTTAGTAAGGTGGAAAGTGGGATCTATTAAGTCAGTTCGAGTGGTCGGTCATAGACATGTCAAGCTAAACTAAATGTAAGAAACTATTAGTGGTGTCGTATTCTCAGGAAATATAAAATCCCACTAAAAGCATTCATCTGATCTATAAATCTTCCCCATTATTCCTATAAAAGAATATCCTATAAAATTCACTTACTGACTGCTTTATACAAACTCCCGTTCCGCTGTATATTTGGTTCTCAATCAAAATAGTCGTATAATTGAGTTGGATGTGTCACATGATCATTTATCGTGATCTGATGTCAAATGCCAGAATCATTAACAGATCAATGTGTTTTTTGTCATGATAAATTTAGCGACGAGGATGAGCATTTTAATTGTGGAACCACTACTTCATAAATCTGTCTGACGATATACTGCCATTTATAAATTAACCACAGTTCTCAGTATGAAATCCCTATTGCATGTTGTATGCTTATATTAGCATCTATAACTGTGATATGAATGCAATAGTTTATCAACTCTTTTCAAGATTGCAAATACAGCTTTATAATAATACCATGAAACCTAATTCATCAAACATAGCTTCCTACCAGTTGCCTATTGAACCACTTAACATATGTGTACATCTCATTGCACAAACCATTGCTATGCTCACTGATTCCGGTCTTTTCATTACATCTAGTTTTCACATCCATCATCTTATCATTTAATATCATACTGATTAACTAATTTTTCCCATTTTGTTTTTTAATTATTATTATTAATCCTGTGGTCGTTTAGAATGATTCCTACTGTAATTTCTATGATGGAAGTGTGACAGGTGTTATTGGGAATGAAACCAGTGGAACTGTTGGAGTCAATGTTATACCATTATCTATTAACTCTTTATCGAATACGTTCAATCATGTAGATAATTCTTTATCAGTTAACGATAATTATCATGTTAATTACTCAAACACGAACGATAATAATTCTTTATTCAATTCTAATCCATTATCGATTAATAGTAGTACTAATCATCCAATCACCAGTAGAAATCGAACACAATATTCTACCACTACTACTAATAATAATGATGGTGGATCTATGTTTATGGTAAATGAACCACATATTTCTGCTTCTAATAATTTAGAATTATTGAATCCTTCGCGTTCAACAATTAATACTACTACTACTACTAATAATAATAATACTCAACATGGTTCCATTGAATTACCTTACATTCCGTCACTATATCATACAAGAGATAATAGGAATATCAGCAATAATAACAATAATAATAATAATAGTACACATCCACCGGGAAATTATGCACAAGCAACATTTGTTAATCAAGGTATGTTGAAGTTATTATATTTGGGCTTTTTAAAATATTGTTCATACTTATTCATTCCAAAGTATGGATTCAGCCATTTTTAATGGTGATAAACTGGTAGGTTAGATATCTTCTTTAGAAGAAATTAATACTAACTTTATGAGAAGAGGAGAGTAGTATGTAGTTTTGATAGTGTGTGAAGAAAAGTCAATTTTATCGCTGCCTCTGCATAACAGAAGGTCAGTAATATATGAATCTTTTCCTAGACTTGATTTCTTTTTTGTTTCAAAGTATTTGTTTTTCATTGTTCCGTAATTCATCATACTAAGTTTCTTACAATGTTTGTGTACAAAGTGGAAAAGAGAAGATATATTTTACAAAATTACACTTAAATAATCATTGTGTACTAGACATTTGGCATTAACATTGTCATTAGATTAATTAATATATTTAGAATTTCAGTTAAAGTATACTTTACTGATAACCTTTTAGCGACCCTGAAGAAGTAAGACGATGTTTTAGCTATTCAAAAGTCAGGTGATGGAAATGTATTAGGAATGAAATGAGACAATGTTTTGTAGCCATTAATTTATATATACATGAATACTTGTGGTGTTAGTTATTTCGTTAATTTAAAACACAAAGAACGTATAAGTTCCCCTAAAAATTCAAAAATCTTGATTCTTACTTCTTATTTTTTCCATGTTTACTAGTGTTAAACATCTTAAGTACTAAATATTACTACGTTTTGACTTATCTTTCAACAAGATGCAAACCATCCATCATCACGTTTTGAATTTCGTTAAAAAATCTAATAGCCGTAGTCTTAAATCTGCTTGGTTCATTAATGGAGCATACTTTTATCTGCATTACTACTAAGAAAGTAAACTTACAAAATTTTAGCTAATAGGTAATACTCTTTATTTCTATTAACATATCAATCATTTTCAAACAACCACTCGATTTTTTCAATTTTAGGTTCCAAACTGCTCTACGTAGCCTTGGTTTTTATCAATAGGGTAGTATTACTAGTAGTCCTCATACTAATTCTATGTTTTGAAACTGAGTGTACAAATATGTACTTTATAAATCTGTCCCGGCTTTTGATCATAAATGTCTTTTAAGAACTACTTGCTTATCGTGGACCGAATGAGTGAAGTTAGGCATAAGGTACTAAGGAAAAATGAGAATCCGGTTGATAAGATTATGAATCTTCATCAACTGAGGTGTCTGTAATATGTGTTACGTATGTTCAGTTATACCTCCTACCCCAACATCCAGTGAAAACTGAAGTAGTATTATGTTGAAGGAAAGCTAAAGGTAGAGAGACCAATACATGACTCCGGTTCATGAAGCCATTAACTGTTCGTTTTAGTCATATTTGTAGGTGCAGACTGCCTGGTTAGGTTCCACAGGATAAATGCTACCAGTAGTTGGAGACTTTAGATAGTAGGTCCAATCACAATGGCACAGAGCTATGCATCCTTTGTCTTCCTCGAGATGTTATGTTCCATCATTCCTTCATACATATATTTTCACTATGCCTCTTAGAACTATACTATGAATGTTTAGTCATTCTGATTATCGTTTTTAATATGTTATTTCTATCCTTTTACTATTCATCTTGTTGACTTCATCTTATCATGCTAATATGATACGGCAGCTTGAACTTATGTATAAGTTTACTTAGCTGTATGTTGATTATGACTGATCAACCCTCTCACACACATATATATAAACAATGATTCTTAAAGCCGAGTAATAATAATTAAGATTAGTAGTAGCTGGATGAACAGTTCTCTTTATTTAAAAATCAGGTTGTGTCACTTTGTGTGATGCAAACAAAAATATATTTTCGTGAAGAATAGAGTAAAAATAAACCATAGACTAACTTTCAGCTTATAATTCAAAGTAAGGGGTTTGTGAAGATTGATTAAAAATTTTTAGAAGTGCAAATCATTGAATGCTGACTCCATGATCTAAATATCACGAGCTGGATACGCACAAGACCTTAAGGTCCCGGGTTCGACCACCGGTTAGGTCATGATAAATGTCAACTACCGAAAAGTCCTGTACTCGGACGAAACAGAGCTCTCCATTGCTTCCTAGTTTCATAACTGATGTCAACTTCCGGCGTAAACTATGAAATTTCAGTTCATGGTTTGACTTGAAAATTAGTTTGTGACATTTATTTTTTACTATGAGTCAAAACACTAAATGTCACAACAACAACAAATTAAACTTTTTTCGATGTTCTATCCAAGTACAATTTGAAAATCTTATTGATAAATTATTAATAGGTAAAGAAACTGATCGATTCAATTTTAAATATTAACTGTTCTAAAAAACACCATCTCAGAGCACAAAAGCATTCTAGAGGATTTTCTAACGTTCTCCTAATACTTACTTATGCCTATCACTCCTCGTGAAGGAGATAAGCCGCTTACCAGCATTCTCTATCCAACACTGCCCTGGGCAATCCTTTCCAGCTCCTTCCAGTTGTTACTCATCCTTTTCATATCTGATCCTATTTCCCGACGTAATGTGTTCTTTGACCTTCCTCTTTTCCGATTCCCTTCAGGATTCCAGGTCAGTCAGTCAGTAACAACGTAGAACTTAGTACGTACGTACATCAGTTCGAGTTGCCATACCACATTAGCACAGAGATGCAGTGGTCGATTCAAATCCCGTAGTGGTAGAGGTAGCAAGAGTATAAGCAGTAATCGGGAAGATTAGGGTTTGGAGATGTTATTTAACGAGTATAATCCAGTGAAATAAATTTGGAAAGAGGAAAAAAAGGGGCATGAAGAATTCAGATAATTAGAATTTGGGAGAACATAGAGAGTGGATGCACCTGCGCCATTGCAAACGATTTTGAGCCATGTCATTCAGGGTCTCTAACCATCGGTTGCTATCATCTCGCGGTCCCCAACCAGGTAGTCTACACCTACCAACATGACTCAGTCCACTTGTCAGTGACTTCATGGATTTGTGCCATGTTTTGGTCTGGCCGCCCCTAGCTTTCTTCCAACCTACTCCTATACCACTGAATATAGCACGTCGAGGTAGTCGGTGGTTGGGCATACGTAACACGTGCCCCAGCCGTCTCAACTGATGAAGTTTCACTACTACATCAATTGATTTGCCATCCTTACCTAGTACCCGTTTCCTAACAGTTGCGTTACTTACTCGGTGGTCCCAGGATATACGAGCAATACTTCGAAGACACCTATGATCAAATACTAGTAACCTACGAATATCCTCTACTCTTACCGGCCATGTTTCACAGCCATAAAGTAGGACGGAACGAACTGCTGCGCAGTAAACACGTCCTTTGGTTGGTAGACGGATATCTCGCCTACGCCATAAATGACGCAAGTTGGCAAAAGCTAGTCGAGCCTTCTGTATCCGTGCTGAGATTTCGTCACACACCAGACCACAAGGGCTGATGAGACTTCCAAGATAAGTGAAGCGGACGACACACTCAACTACTTCACTCCCTATCACTAGTTCGGGTGTCGATGTAACCCAATCCTGAAGCAACATTTTGCATTTCGAGGGAGAGAATCGCATCCCGAACATGCTTGCATTGTTGCTTAGAGTGGTCAGAAGACTCTGCATTTTGTCAGCGTCTTCACCAAATAAAACTATGTCATCTGCATATTCTAAGTCAACAAGTGAACCTCCCGGTAGAAGTTCAACCCCCGGAAATTTAGATGAGGGGAGTGTTATCTCCGTTCTTCAGATGGCCTTACCGCCGGAGACGGAAATCCGTGAGGTAAGGTGAGGTGTGACATTTTTAGGGTCGACCTTTTCTAACCCCACCCCTCCTTGTGGGAAGGCAGCATCGCTGTCATGCTGATTGTCCGAAGGAAACACCTTACTGCTGTCACACCTCTGTACAGTCAGCAGTACGACTTTGCCCTCAGACTTTGAGTTGCTGCTTTTAGTCTTACCGTTCACCAGTCGACCTGCCTGGCATGGTAGAACCTACAGGAACATATGTTCCAGCCAATATAGCTCGGATGGGTCATCACGATAGGCAAGCCCGACCACCACGTCAAGGTAGCAGCTTCGATCGGGATATTGAAATAGGAACAATAACGGGGCGGATTTGCACGCATATAGCATACAATTCTCTTTGAACCTAGCACACAACAATAGTATCATGCACTGTCCCATCGCCCTTGGCAGATCAGGCAACCCGAAAGTTACGAGAACACCATCAGGGCATACGACAGGCTAGGGCTTGCCTCGCGATACAGTTTGATAATTTGCGCAATGTATATCCTATCCTCTTCCATCGTGTTTTCCTAATTTCCTCTTCAGCTGGAAGCTGGTTTTTTCCCTCACACAGAAGGCTGTTGCTGATGGTATCCGGCCAATGGATGTTGAGTATCTTGCCCAGACAATTGTTTATAAATACTTGTACCTCCTTGATGATAGTTGTTGTAGTTCTCGAAGTTTCAGCTCCGTACCGTAGAACTGCCTTGACGTTCGTATTGAAGATTCTCACTTTGATATTGGTTGAAAGTTGTTTTGAGTTCCATATGTTCTTCAATTGTAGAAATGTAGTCCTTGCTTTGCCAATCCTTGCCTTTACGTCTGCATCATATCCTCCTTGTTCATCGATGATGCTTCCCATGTATGTGAAGGATTCTACATCTTCCAGAGTTTCTCCATCAAGTGTGATTGAGTTAGTGTTCTCCGTGTTGTATTTGAGGACTTTGGTTTTCCCCTTGTGTATGCTGAGGCCTACTGATATAGAGACTGCTGCTACACTGGCTGTCTTTATCTTCATTTGTTCATTTGTATGCGATAGGAGGGCTAGGTCATCTGCTGAGTCCAAATCGTTTAACTGGTTCTGAGCTGTCCATTGTACGTTGTGCTTTCCTTCAGATGTCGAGGTCTTCATAATCCAGTCGACCACCACAAGAAAGAGGAAGGGGGAGAGTCAACAGTCTTGTCTGACTGCGGTCCTTACTTGGAATGCATCTGTCGGCTGTCCTCCATGGACGACTTTGCACTGTAGTTTGTCGTATGAGTTCCGAATAATGTTGACAATCTTCTCAGGAACTCCATAGTGTCGAAGAAGTTTCCATAATGTTCTTCGATCTACACTTTCAAACGCCTTTTCATAATCAATGAAGTTGATGTATAATGACGAGTTCCACTCAACGGATTGTTCGACGATGATTCGTGGTGTCGCAATTTAGTCCGTGTACGACCGATCCTTACGGAATCCAGCTTGTTGATCTCGAAGTTGGGCGTCTATTGAGTCTTTCATGTGGTTCAGCAACACTCTGTTAAGACCTTCTTTGGTACTGACAGTAGTGTGACGCCTCTGTAGTTTTTACATTTGCTCAGATCTCCTTTGTTTGGAATCATGATAAGGTTTCCTTCTTTCCAGTCCATTGGCATTTGTTCCTCCTCCCAAATCATTTTGAATAGAAGGTGAAGCATGTTTGTAGTTAATTCTATGTCTGACTTTAGTGTTTCAGCTGATATGTTGTCGGATCCTGCTGCTTTCCCTCTCTTGATTTGTCTGATGGTCATTCTGATTTCTTCCGTCGTTCGTGGATTGACGTCTATAGGAAGATCTGTGTGTGCTGCTTCGATGTCCGGTGGATTGATTGGAGCTGGTTTATTCAGGATTTCCTGGAAGTACTCTACCCATCTGTTCCTCTGTTGTTGAATTTGAGTGATTGGCCTGCCTTCTTTGTCCTTGACCGGTCTCTCTGGTTTACTATATTTCCCTGCTAGTTTCTTCGTTGTATCGTGAAGCTGTTTCATATTTCCTTTTCTTGCAGCTTTATCCGCCGTCGTTGTTAGTTCTTCCACGTATTTCTTCTTGTCAGCTCTAATGCTCTTCTTCAGTTGTTTGTTTGCTTCAATGTAATCAGCTTATGCTTGGACTTTCTCTATTCTTGTTGGGCTGTTGTTAATTGCTGTCTTCTTCTTCTGATGCTTCTTTAGGCCCAGAACCTCTTGACACGTTGAAGTTAATGCTTCTTTGACACCTTTCCAGTTGTCCTCTATAGCAGTTTCTTCTTCCTTTAGTAGATCCTGTAAGGCTTGCAACCTGGTGTTGAGAGTTATCTTGAATTCCTTGAGTTTGTTAGTATCTCGAAGGAACTCTGTATTGAACCTTCGTAGTGCTGTTTGTCCAGTTTCTCTTTGGCTTCAGTTTTAAATTGACCACAACTAGGTGGTGATCTGAAGCTATATCAGCTCCTCTCCTGATTCTCGCATCTCCTATTGTCCTTCGGAATTTTTTATGGATGTAAATATGATCTATCTGGTTCTCTGTGTTGTGGTCCGGTGAGATACATATGGCTTTGTGTATGCGTTTATGTGGAAATACTTTGCCGCCTATGACCAATTTGTTGAATGCACATAGATTTGCAACTCTTTCTGCATTTTCGTTTCTCTCTCCCAGTCCATGTCGTCGCATGATATCTTCATATCCGGTGTTGTCTATTCCGACTTTGGCGTTTAGATCTCCTATCAGAATGGTGAGGTCCTTTGTTGGGCACTTCTCTATGATTGACTGCAGTCTCTCAAAGAATTGTTTCTTAATGTCGTCGTTGCTATCATTGGTGGGGCCATAACATTGGATAACATTCATTGTGTTCCCCTCCTGCTTTGTTTTGAGTGATGCTTTGATGATTTTGGATCCGTGAGTTTCTCATCCTTCAGGTGCATTTCGTGCTACTTTGAACAGCTTTAGAGCAACTCCCTGAGTGTGTGGAGCGTTCTCATCGTCGTGACCGGAGTATAGCAGCATCTCTCATGTATCTAGCCTTTGTTGTCCAGCTTGGGTCCAATGAGTTTCGCTGATTCACAGTACTGCCAAATTGTATCTCCTCATTTCCGTTGCTATTTGACTGGTCTTCCCGGTCTCCCACATTGTCCGGACGTTCCATGTACCCATAAAAATTGTTACTCTGGTTGTTAGAAGTGGCATCGGCTTTGTGACTTGCGAAGTTGGCTTTCATCATGAGGCGTCATAGTTCTTTTAAATGAAGACATTCTAACTCCCGGTGCAGAGTTTAAATGGTTTGAATTATTTTTTCTGGTTAGCGTTTTTTAGCAAGTTGGTTTTCCGCGGGATGGGGTCGTTAATCCCCATGTCCGACCCTCTTCCTTCACTCGGGCTTGGGATCGGCAGTAACTCTAAAAGAGCTACAGGCGGAATTCTCCTAATAAGCACTATCTAAATGATCTGCGAAACCTATCACATTCCCTTGAATCTAAGGTGTATGAACCATCGTCATTTTTATGATAACATACTCACTCTACAACGGAACTGCAAAACTTGCTATCTTGCCAAATATCTTATATCCAGTGACATTTAGTGTCCATTTTCTGATAGATCACATAAGTTCAACCTTTAGAAATTTAAAATGACACTGATGTAGATATTGAAGTAACTGTCTAATGTTTAAAAATCACGACTTCCAACTTCTGGACGACAGATTCAAATGTTAATTCAATTTTATCAGTTCAAGTAACCGCGAGTAGTATCATTATTCTTTATATGAAACAGCTAGCCAAGCATTTGAACCACTTGTATTCAGTAAACTAGTTGATGTAAATATTGATCGAATCCTGAAATGTGTATACTTCCATTTAAAGGAAAACGGCTCGGAAGTATTTACAATATGAATTGTTAATTTAGCTGACAACTAGTGTATCATGTTAGTAATCAAGGTCTGTTGAAGATCTGGGCTACTATGCTTTGTATTTGATCACCACTTAGAAATTCATTCATTTGAATAAATTACCCCTATATGATTCATATTATCTTCATCTGAAACGGCCCAACAATTGCATATAACGGATCAGTTGCTTAGTGAGTAAAACTCGATTTTCGAACATTCCTTCACCTACTTTAATGTGAACAGTCGGATGGTGTCAGTCTCTAAAGCGTTTAGAGTACACAACAGATCTTCGGTTCAGGCAAACAGGTATTATCAGTAGATCTCACATTTAGAGTTTGGATTATATCCAAGTAGCTAATGAACAAGCTAATTATTTTTTATACCATTTACATAAAATATACCAGTAATCTACGTTTTCTAATCAATAACCACTATGTAGAGTGAATTTATCTGTCTCAAAGGCGGAACGGTAACTGAATGTTTAAATCACCTCCAGGTTCGAAATCCACTTTATCGAATTTCCGCATAGATTGTATGACTCACTGCTAATTTAGTAAACCTGTACTCAGTAAATAATTTACACTCATTCATATGGGTTGTAAATATCTCTTTTTGAGACTAAACTAAGTCCTTAATCTTCCTATTATTCTTTACATTTATTCAACTTCATTGTAATTCAACTGATTAGATCTTTCATAATTTTTTTAATATTTTAATTTCATTTAAAAGAAAAAGAGAGATGCATCTACTTTCCCATTAAAAATTATTTTTCATTCTTCTTCCGATTGTTTTGTCTTTATCTCTGTAGTTTTTCATGGACAGTCATCTGATCAATCGTCGCCTAATACAAGTCGTTTCAGTTTTATTTTTTCACCATTAGACGTTAATGCACCTCATGCATCACAAGAGACTCTAAGTACAGCTACATCACAAACATCTATTCCTCGACTTGGTTCACCATCTAGTCCAAGAGGTTTTCCATCATCGTCTCAATCTCATAACAATAGGGGTCCCGTAAATGATTCATCAGCACCGATCGATTATGAAACTGATGATTATTGTGTCAGTCGAACTGGTACTATGCTACCATCAAATCGTATGTCAAATTAAAAATAATACATTATAATTTCTATATTGTTGTTTGCTTGTTTGTTTGTCTTTAACATAATATTCATCATTCAATACCAATTAGACTACGGCGATAAATACCAACTGCTTCCAATATATTTCCATACATTTATTGTACAACATTATACGTGATATTATTGATATTGACAAGGTTTATTCCAATTTATTGTTTCATTATCTCCAACCTTATTTGTTTTCATGAGTAGCATTTGTTTATCAATCTATCAATTGAAATAAGCAAAACTTTTCGATTGTATGTATGTGTGTGTATGTTTTTACAATTTCTGTTTGTATACAGCTTCTTTTTCGTTTTCGTTTTTCATGTTATTGTACACACTGTAGATAAAGGGTACTATTTACAAAAACACACACAATCAAGACTAATATTTTCACTCACTTGCACCTATCATACCAATTCTTCTTTTTCTGTTTACTACTCATCATTAACATCCATGTACACTCAATTATTCCTGTCTGAGTTTCAACTGTTTTACATCTCTCTATCTCTCTCTATATATATGTGTGTATGTGTTTGTACTCATATACATTCTTTTCCTAAATGTCTAATCTCTGTCTACGGTGAATATATTTCTTTCGTGAATGTAGACTTTTTGTATCTACCAAATACTTAATCAATTAGTTTTACACTTTATTTTCTCATCGATATCAGTCAATGCTACCGAGTGGTTGTTATTATTACTATTAATAACAGTATTCTCAAGTGTCCATGTTCTCATGTTTACGTTTGTGTATTTGCAAAAACTATAAAACAAGTTAAAAACTATCTTCTTTTAGTTCATTAATTCCAGTTGTAAAAGAAAAGAACCCTAGAATTCATATGTAAATCTAAATTGCCTTCTCTCATGTATATGTGTACAACATAAAATATATTTTTATCAAATTTCCATTTGATTGTCTTATAATCATTGTCTACCTTCCTTTTGTGAAGTTAGTTATCTTCAGTGTTCTCTCTACCATTGGTGACACTTTCTGTCCTTACTTAATTTGTTTCCTCTCTTTTTTCTCCTAATCTTGTTTTTTATTCCTTTCTGTTACTATGGTGACCTTTATTCACCTCAGTTTCAGGTTACAGATGTGTACTAGGAATAAGTGATTGAGTTATTTTCATTCCATCATACATTTTATGTGAGCATATACCTGATATATATATATATATATACGTGTGTGTATCAGTTTGTGTTTCCATGTGTTGCGTATGCGAACCTCAGTGTTTTTGCAAATGTTCTACTGTTTTGTATGATGAAAACGTTATGCAACATTTGACTAGTATTTACATATATGTATCTATTTGTAATGTCTTCATTTTGCTTACTACTTATTTAGTTAGTTGCTTAAAAATTTCTAGCGAAATAGTCTTCCTGTTTACTGTCCTCGTTTTCAGTTTCCAGATTACTTGTTTAAGTCTGTTATCACCTATCTGATGCCCAACTGAGTATATTACAATTAAAGGAGAGACATTTTGTCATATGGGAAATTGAATAATGTCAACAGTATGCAATAACTATTTGCTGTTGCAATATCGTTGTTCCTCCTTTCTAAATAGTGCAAAACTTGTAAAATTCTGTGATTTGAAAAGGGTTTTAATATGTACATTCCGTTGTTCCGATGAGTTGAGTAGTATCTATCTGAAATAAGCAGATAACGTGTTGGGTGTTTGGAGAGAAAGTTATTTGATTCAAGTCCCAATGTAAACATCATCACAACATCCAGTTGGCGAATCCCAAATAAAACAAAACGTACATATTGGATCCTACTGCTAGTCATTACCCAACTTTACTTAAAATCTTATGGTGTCATGAAATTATCGAGGTGATTTTCTCGGGATACAAAAGAGACCGATCAATTGGAGTCTTTAACAACAGGATAATTCAAACCCTTACAAGTGCAAATGTCCTCCATTGTTTCCAACAAATTTCGGAGTACATATATCTTGTCCATACACTCGGTTTTAGAACCTCATATTCCATGGGAGAGCGCTAGTAATAGTAACCAACTGTTTAAACTGGAATGCATGAAACAGATTTCAAATGCAAAACCCAAAAGTTGGATACTTTACTCACTACACCTCACTTACTACTCTGCTTACTTACACTTCTGTCTGTATAACCAAGTGGATACATGGTGTATATACAGTGCAATCCACAAATGTGTATTGATGTTCTGTAAACGGAATTTCAGTCATTACTGTAATTACTTAAGATAAAGTTCTAACTTTAATTAGAATTCTAGTTGCAAGATTATCTGTAAATACTAAACTGTAACGCAGTTTCCAACCACTGATTAGTAAGAAAAATTCAGTGTGACAAGTAAATAGTTGGTCAAAAGTGATAAACCAATTTAACCTAACATTTAAAGCCTCAGATAAATCAACGTTGATGTTTATTACTTGCTCCAGACAAAATAACTTGACGTGTTTTCCTACGTACTCAACAGAAGGTCTAAATAGTATAAAAAATTAGACTCTAGTAGATTTATCTATTTGTACATTGTATTCGTCGTGGATTACCATTAATTGGGGCACAATTGAAAATAAGAGAGCACTGAACGATTGTTTCTTCTTTAGTTGTCCTCCGTACCAAGGGTCGAACACTTGATCTGGTCTTTTAGATAGCATTTTGCCTTTAGGCCACTGGGTTAGATTCTCATGAACCACATCAACTCGCAATACGGTTCAACGATTATTCACATGCTTTCGATGATGATTATTTCTCTTTGGGCATAATTGGACTCCAATTGTCAACACTTCTAACTGAAACTTCAGAAAATCATTTCGAAACCTGTTACCAGTGTACATCGGTTTAATCTGCAGCTTTGGCTGTCACAGATTAACATCATGAACATTCACTACTAAATGGTTCTATGCCCCCCCCCAAAAAAACAGTCATTCAATACTGTCTCATTTTTCAATTTCACCCCAGCTTGTTTCAATTTATGACCAATACAAACCTGTTAAAAATTGTGTTTATAACTTTGATAAACATATTATATGTCAGCCAATTAGCGTGGGGTTTCATTCCTTCATATTTCCAGTCGGGAATAAATCATCTAATAATTATCGTATTATATAGCGGACTGGTTAGACTACTGTTTTAAAAAATCCTTATGTAATTATGTTTAGCCAAAAGGTATATCCATATCTTATACATATTTAATCATTCACTTAAATATTTCTGTCTTCTGTATGAAGATAGTTTGAATGTGTCCACTTACCAATATCCTACAATCTCAATCAAGACTACTATATATATAGTAGTCTACGTATCCAAGTGACGTCTAGATGAAGTCAGCCATTTTTCATCAATATTATTAATCGATACATTTCTAAAAAAGTACATATCACATCATTCTTTAGTTATTATTATTATTTAATTACTTGTGATCGAATGACGTTTAATTTATGCTCACTATTGCATACATTAATGTATTTGATAGTTAATGTGTGTGTGTGTGTAGAAATGGAAGGATTATTTTGGAATAATCCAAATTAGACATGTTTATTGAAAGGATAATTACTTGAAAGTGAATAACGTTATTTGTATATAAATTAATTAAACAGAATAATTATCCCCCTTAAAATTTCATAAATGTGTGTTACATTTTTATCAGTTTAGTTTTTAAACTAAACAACTCTAATCTAATAGTTAAATTCATGAGTGGATTTAAAGCTTGACCACCATGGAAAACTTAGAAGCATTTAACGGCCGTTCCGTCTTAGTGTGAGACTCCTCAGCAATGCGCATCCACGACCCTACATGCGGAACTCGAAACCACAACCTTAGGTCTCGTGTGTGGACGATTAAACTCTAGACCACTGAGCCGGCATCCAACAATGTTAATTTTCAACTTCAAACGATTCATGATATTGCTCCACTGTCAATGATTGTCTTCAGTGATTCACTGCCTCATAACAGACACGATTGAACTCCACTTCTCATTCGAACTCCGAGGAAGATATCTTGAAGCGAGTCACTAGTGAGTATATGATGATTATCAGAATGGGGATTTGTGAAGATTGTAGTGATTTTAATAGTTGAATTCATGAGTCGATTGGAGCTGAACCACTATAGGAAACCTGGAAGCACTGAACGGCCGTTTGGTCTATGAAATAATAGTTTAAAGGGGATGTGCGTGGTGATATTTTTTACACATCGACTTAGAAGATCTACTGGAAAGATGTTTTACGACGCTAACGTGTATTTGAATTTGTCAACTAAGCCAGAACTTGCGCAACGAATCAAGGATAGGATAGCGATGATGAACTGTTCCATATGTGTATACCAATCTAACTGATTTTGTGGAGCTAGTTAATTAGGCCGTACTCAGAGGGCCGCAGTGGTTTCGAAAAGTCACCAAGTCAATCAGTAGCATCATAGTTTTGCACTTGGTAGATAGCGAATATCATATCGAAATGGTTGAAGCCTTCCCGGTTCTGTATCAAGTCCCGAAAATTTCACCTAAAGGAGCAAAATTATGGCTTCTCTACAAAGCGAAAGCTGTCAGAATTAACTCTTAAAAACTGAATTAATCTATCTGATAGAGATATATTCTGCTTCCCGTGGTCTACGGTTGAGTCATTCCATACTTAAACCATATAATAAACCATTAATCTTCTTTATATTCATCTTTGCATCTCATCTTTCATTACCAACTTCGCGTTTCTCAATTTACATGAATTTCTTATTTCAATTACATTTCTCTTATTACATATTTGTTTCACGGGACTGAATTATTAGTCATTATCAACATTTCCCTTACTGTACATTTTATTCACAAGATTCATTTCACTACATTGATTGTAATTCAATACTATACAATAATTTTTCCTGCCTATTTTGTTAAACGACTTTTTAAATTGAAAAGTGACATGTTTGAAACGTATTTTAACCTTGACTGATGCAAAAGTCCAGACTCGTTATCCATTCTTATCAGTCATTGTAATCTATTCATTGTCATGTCCTTTTGTCCTGTTAATTAGCACATGATACGATCGCCAATTAGAACACCGACTTACTGACCAGACCAATGACGCATAAACCAGTACGAACAGACTAGAGTCATTCTGAGTCCTTATTGAATCCCTGAGATAGTACCCGATCGCCTAACTCATCCGGTTCGGTTCCGAATACCAATATCATTCTCTGTTATATGAATCATGTATTTCAGACATACTTGGTTTATATACAAGCAGATCAGACTTCATCACAGCATAAAGTAGAAAATAATGATTACACAAAATCAGACCAAAAAGTGGCTGTGATTGTGAGAGACTGTAACTAATAAATTGGGAACGGTAAGTCGTACAGTAGTGGTCAGTAGGTCATATGGAAGTTTATAATAAGAGGAATATATATATAGTCAGTTAATGGTTATACAATAATAATATATATAATAACAGTTCATAAATAGATCTTAGAAGTTACTATTCACTTATTCTTCGTCCAGATATAACATTCACCATTATAGGGTCAATCCACTCGGCCAAACTAAACTATACAACTTCTTTAAATTAGTTGATTTGATTTCACTCATCCCTGTAATTTGTAGTGTTATTTTAGGGTGGACAAGTGTTTGATTCCTGTATGTTATTGTATTTATTCTGAAACTTGAAAGTCACTGAATAGATACCGTATTAAATCAAGCATTTGTTCTTATTACAACTATACTCTGACGAATGAACTATACAGTTCAGTGACTTGAAAAATGGGCCAAATATTTCTGTTAAGAAAAGAACAATACGATATTAATGTTGAATTAATTGTTAACTTGTTTTTTTTTCTCTATTACTGACTGATTTCAGTTTAGCCAGTTTTTTTTTTTCTTGGCTCTCTCTTCTTTTTCGCTGATATTGTTTTTTTGCTTGTTTAACGGTCACGCATTTTTAATACACATTTCCAATATTTATTTAATCTATTCACGTTGGCACATGATTTCAACTGATCGATAATAAGTACTACTTGAATTTTTCATTATTCTAACTAATTCCTTCCATTTGATAGATGACCTGTCTGTCTAACGACCAGTTCTACTATTACTGATAGTAATAATAATACTTACTATATGTGTAGGTGTGAGTGCCAAATGTAACGTTTAAAAATTGATTAGATATGAAACAAGTTTTCACGTCATCACTTCAAACTATGTTCACATTCTTTAGAATTCCTTTTACATAAAGTGGACATAACGGGTGTATCTTACTACAGAGCAACACTCTTTTACTAAGTCCCCTATGAGTGTGATGTCATTTAGTCAATAACAATTGGTTCATAATTTTTGTAAATTCCAGTCAATTCACGATCAAGTATGATTATTATCATTGAGTAACTTTCTCAATCTCATTTTATTCAGCTCCTCAAAACAACCATATAATTGATTAGTTCTCCTAATTTAGAAATAATCAATGGAAGCTCTCTTCTTCCATAGAACAAATATTTTTTTCAGAATACATAGACATGATTTATAAATCTGTATGAATGATATGAACTGTGGTTTAATTCAGTCATTAATACACCCTAACTACCTGGATGAAAAAGACGGTAAGTGGAAATTTACAATACATGAATGAATAGTGCTTACAGGTAAAGTGCATTCATAGGTAGGTATTCAGAC